TTTTATTTGACAAATTTTCTAAAAACTGTTTCCTTGTTGAAAAATCAAAAATGGAGAATATAAGATGAAGGAATGTGTTATTACGTACGAATCATGTTAATTACGTATTTTTATTCATAGTATTGAGTATTTATTATACTATTATTAAATATTATATTATTGAAGTTCAGGGGACTCTAATGAATTTTATTTGTTCTCCTGCGGATGGCGTTCATTAATAATCGAACACGAATCGTTCATTAACACGAAAGCATCTACCGATGTCGTGTTATAGTGTGAGGATACCTGTGGGATCAACCCAGCGATTAGATACTCCTAAAATGAATTGTATAATTACTAGAATGGGAAAAAAACATACGTGGATCATTTGTTAGAAACTCCTTGCCTTCGCGCTAAACGTGGGAAGTTTTCGTGGTTTTCCTCTCCATGTAACGCAAATTCGGCTTAGTTCCATCAAACAGTCCTCAACAGATCCAGGAGTTCACTTATCTTCTCAATTAATTTCAAAATTACAAGGTTACGGAGTTAATTAACTCAAAATTTAGTGGGCTGTTCAACGTTGGTTATAAAAAATAAAAACATTCAGAAAAACATACATTCATAAAAATATAAATCCATATCTTAAGTTCATTTTTTATGTTAAAATAGAAATTATTGAAATTACGCGGAAATTTTTCTATGTTGAAAATGTTATTTTCAACAAAGTATTTTTAAGTATTAATAACTGTTCCTTAAATGTAAAAAATATTCTAATTTTAATGTTCTAAAATTTTTTAATTAAATTTGTTCCAAAATCATACTTTATTCCTTATGAAAATAGTTAGCTTGAGCCAAATATTTAGCTATTTAATAAGAATAAGAATAATAAGCAATAAAAATAATCGTAACAGTAGTACAGTGTCCTTAGTGGTCAAATGGATACCAATTTCTCTCCTCTCTGCGCGTCACTGGCTTCAACTTTTGAGTATAATCAAAAAGCTTATTTTATTATGTCTGTAAAATTAAGAAAGATGTAAAATAAATAATATTTACAATTTCAAAAGTTAATAAATAAAATGAATGGCATTAAAAATTATGATTGTTAATAGCGCTTAAAATAAATTATGAAAGATTATACTGCGGAACCTTTTTTCTTACTGTTGCATAAGAAATTTTAACAGATCTTTGATACTTTCATTTCGCTGATTTTAAATCTGCATTGGGTTTATCTCTCTAATCTACATTTTTTTTTCAATGACATTTGTAGTTTATTGTTTGTTGAACAAGTTTAAAAACGTTATATGTGACAGGGAGACGCATAAATGTTGCACAAACTTTTAAAGTAGTTAGATTAAAATTGCATAGGGACCCATGCCAAAAAATGTCGTCATATGCCACTGAGGGTCCTCCTCTATCATGAACTGTTTCTTCGAGTGACTCTATATAGGTCATAATAGGGAAGCGTCCGCGTACGATGACAGTTTCGGGCATGAGTTCTGATGGAATTTTAATCCTGATGATATGACTTAACCCGTTAAAACGTTGGTCACAACATTTCTGCGTCCCCCTGTCACACATAACGTTTTTAAACTTGTGCATTTCCACAAAAAAAACTAAAAATTTCAATTTTAAAAAAATTTGTAGTCTTAGGAGCAAAATTAATTTTAGATTTAAAACTCCCCTCACCCGAATTAGACAAGATCTAGTACAAGATCAAAATTTATTCCCTAGTGTTATATATAATAAAATAATCATTATGCCTCGTTAATCCTTCATTTGCTTTTCACGTGATTATCCATAGCGATTGATTATGTTTACAAACAAAAAAATCTAAAGCGGTTGATTCCAGTTTCCAAGGGGAATGCACTCATTCATGATCATATTTGAAATCTGGCGCCACTATATTTGCATTCATGATTCTGGATATCTTACGAGCGCCGCCATCTCCCTTTAAAAGTTGTGTGTAAACACATAAGATTATGATCTTGTACTTTAAGCAAAGAGTAACATTCTCATTGATAGAATGTTTTGTGGCCAATTATATGACCAATTTTTTTTTCCTAATCAGATATTATTACTTTGACTCAATGGCTAGATAAAACTAAAGCAGTAAGACAATTTATTTAAATAATCAACAAGTAGCACGGCGTTAAATATGAAGGAAAGATAACTCAGAGGACTTTTAAGATTACGTTTTAAGGATTTAATAACTAAACCGTCAACTTTCTTATAAGCCCGTTGAATTAAGTTAAATTACAATTTGTGAGCAGCTATACACGCCCAAAGACTATGCAACTCTCTTTTTCCATCAGCTCTCTTCGGCTACTTTTTCTATTTTAATATTTTTCCAAATTCCATAATCGCCGATATTTGTTAATATTACGTGGTATGAAAAAGCAATTTTTTTAACCGAAACGCACATATTGGAATAATGTAAAAAGTTGCATATTTAAAACTTGATAACTCAGAAACTATTCGACCGATTTCTTTCAAATTTTGTATTTTATCATTTAAAATTGAAGGGAACCCATTCAAAAATTTAACATTTATTAAATAAAATAATAAAATATTACAAATAATTACTAAAATTTATTTTTTACGTTGAATTATCTTCGAATAATCGAATTTTATTTTGCACCTAATTATTTTGATTATCTTTGTAAGCTATCGAGATATAGCGAAATACGCATAAGGTGAAATTAGCTTCTTCACATTTAATATTTTAGAACTAATCACTATCTAATATTTTAGAATTTGTTTTAAAAAAAAGAGTGACTTTTTCATAATTTAAAACAACTCCTTTCTAAAAGGGAGCACTAAACCGAAGTTCAAGCCTTAGGCCTAAGTGCACCATAGTCCGTGATTACTGTCACAGACTATGGTAACTTATCACCAAAGTCTGTGACCCTACTGACACAGAAGAAAAAGGTAATCAACAGTATCTCAGACTCATCGTACTTTTAGTCTGGATAATTTCTGTCTGCAACTGTTCTAAATGCAGTAATAGTTCTAAATGCAATGACAAGAGCATAGAAACTGCTCTGTATTACATCATATCGAACATCATCTACTTCAGGACGTTATCAATTAGGAATCTCCTCACTACAGGATGTGTTGGTTAGAAGCATACTTCCTGAAAAAGGTTCTACTATTTTCTTTTGTTCTTTTTTTCTATTTTAATCCATATGGGGATAAATGCCAAAATATATCCATTCCAACATACCCGTGGCCTGCAGATGTAGCAAGAAAAGAAAAAAAATGCGTCATTCTTAGAAATATTTTTAAGAATTTTTTTTTGGCAAAACAGAAGAACTTACTGGAAGATAATTTCGTCATGCTTAGATATATAAATAAAGCATGATTATTTCTTAACGGGAATTCAATACATTCCTTAACCATTTGGTGATGATAAATTGTTCTAGGAAATTTTTGATCTGAAATTATGTAGATTTTTTTTAAATAATACTCCTATTATGTTCGTATAAATATTGTGTTTCCTAGTTTTAAATATTAGGAAAAGTCTACTTTCATATTTTCAAGTTAAAATAAAAAATATATGTTGAAATTAATCTTCAAGTTTTTTACATTCTACTTGTAAATAATTCTGAACCTCTCTCATTTATAGTATCGTTTGCTTTAAAAAAAAAAATTCACTTTTTCTCACTTTAAATATTATTTTGTGCGTAAAATGAAGCATATAATAGACTTTTTGTTGAACAAATATCAGAGTTTGTAAATTGGGACATCTTTTAAGACAAATTTTAATATATTTTCTTATAATAAATATGAATAAAGAAGGCTTTCTTATTCCTGGAACATTAAGAAAAAACACTTTTAAGCTGGAATATATCTTTAAAGATAATTTATCTCTCTTTTTCAAAATTAAATAAATAAAAAATAAAGTATTTTCTTTAACTGAAATATCAAAGATATAAAGTTATAAAATTGTTATAAGTGAAGAATTTTCCTATCATCTGCATATTGATTGGCTGTTCTCCGAATGAAAGAAAAAGATTACAATTCTAAACACTATTAAGTATGAAATAAATTTGTCCAAATATTTTATCACTTTTATCTGTTGCCAAAGTTACTGAAACTGGATTCTGGTTACAGGGTCTTACAGGGTTATTACGGTCAGAACAATACTACTTTCATTTTACGAGTTATTTGAATTTTCGTTCTTAATTACTATTATTATCATTGTTATCCATAGGGAAGAAACAAATTCTATCTTTTTTCTGGGGTTACGTTTGCCTTTTTATGTATAGATTATTTTCTGATGCCTTATAGATTGGAAAATTAACTTAGTTTCTAACAATGTGTTTACTTTTTTAAACGAAATATTTTTGTAATAAAGTCATGAATTAATTCTAATGCGGATGAAAATATATGTTGGTGGCAAATCAACAAACAAAACATGAATAAATAAATAAAACTATAACAGTGAAAAATTAAATAAAAACTGTGACTTCATTCACTGTAAAATTTGTTCAACACCAAAAATGGTGGCAACTGTACTCTAAAAATTTTTACCGTGCAATAAATCTTCAATTTCAAAACGAATAAAATCAATTTCAAAAATATGCTACACTGTATGAATATTTTTACTCGAATCGGGTGGATCAATAGATCTCAAATTCCATACAAACCAATTTTGAATATATTCAATGTATAATACGAAAATATTTTTGTAGAAACTATTAAAACCCCAAAAATCTCCTTATAGAATTCAACATATTTAAAAAAAAATTGGTGGAGAATTTAAAATATTTACTCCTATCAAAGGGTACATATATATTTTTAAGTACAAATTATACATAAAACGTTTAAGCTTTGACAAACATGGGTCATTTCTTATCGCCTTTCCAGAGATACAAATTCCTCATAGTCTATGATACCACTTAGCAACGAAAATGATACAAGTCTTGGTCTTAAAATAACCTATGCTATCTTATCTTCATTTTCATGAGAACTCTTTTAATGGCTTCTACTGCATCAGTGTTACTTCAGCAAATGGACATTTCAATGTCTCTTGTCTAACTTATATTCATACCTGTGTTTATCTCTTGCGCGCCTGCGCTCTCCTCTTATTGTTTATTTAAATTGTTTCCTTTTATGCAGCGCGTCGTATCTTTCGTTGATTTCATCACATTTAATTTAGAGCCGTAAATATCTCTTTTTTATTTTTTTATTTATTGAGAATATTTTTGGATGATTTCTCGAGTATTGTTAGCTGTCCGATTTGGAGGTGAGTACTCCTGTAATATCTCAATTTATTGAGTAATTTTTTTTTCTCATACAGAATTATGTACTCGTAAACGATTTTGCTTATCAACTTTTGTAATTATCACCATAGTTTGAAGTTTTGATATTAATAATGCCAAAGCTCTATTTGAATAAATTCAAAAGACATCTGTAGTTTACTCTAACTAATTTAGATAATTAGAATTTTAGTTTATACACTATTTTAATAATTTGTAGGAATGAAAGCTGATAAAAATAATAAGTGTAAAATAAATTTTTCTGAAAAATATTTTTTTTTTTTCAATTAAAGACTTCCTGCACCCTAGTTTATTTGTGAGTGTATTACTTTTTGCTAATAAATCAATAAATTAGCTTCAAAGGAAACCACCTAATAAATAGCTTTTATTATTTGTTTTACAAAAAATTATGGATAATAGCACTCACATAGATTTTCAAAACGTATAATTGAACATCAAATCAAAATATTTATTCATTCAAAAGTATATAATCTAAAATTATTCTGATACCTCCTTACTATACTTTTTTAAGATGAGTAATATTTTCAACAGTGCACCATTTTTGTCATTATTTTTACTTCTATTTTGTAAAAATTAGCTTTTTTCTATTTAAAACATTCTGATAGACATTGCCGACATAGGGGAAAATTAACTGTTGCTGCCGACCGTAGGTTAACTGAATATAACAAATAAGGATTAAAAATTGTTTGTCAGTCGCTTCACCCCATGTGCATTTCATTATTTTTTTGTTAATTTAGTTACATTTGAAAATAATACATATATTACATGCTCTTTTAATATATTTCGAAGTAACCTCTCCCATCTGTCGTAATTAACTTCTGTACTCCGCTGTAAAAGTTTCAGAAACAAATGATAAGTCCTCGTTCGGAATGATCTTCAATTCTCCCGTTCTTAATGACTTCGAAATCTTTAAACTTAGCTCCTTTATCAAATTTTTTAATACCGGAAATAAAAAGTCAGCTAGAGATTCGTCATAGAATTAAGCAAAGAGTCATCAACAAAAAGTCATCGAGTAACCTCCTCCATATCTGTCGTAATTAACTTCTGTGTTCTGTTGTAAAAGTTTCAGAAACAACTTTTAAATCTTCGTTCGGAATGTTCCTCAATCCTTTGTTTTTAATGACTTCGAAATCTTTAAACCTAATTTCTTTTTCCAATTTTTTAACATCGGATACAAAATGTCAGCTAGAGATTCGTCATAGAGTTAAGCAAAGAGTCATCAACAAAGAGTCATCGAGCAACCTCCCCCATGTGTCTTAATTAACTTCTGTACTCCGCTGTAAAAGTTTCAGAAACAACTTTTAAATCCTTGTTCGGAACTTTCCTCCATCCTCTGTTCTTAATATCTTCGAAATCTTTAAACCTAGTTCCTTTATCAAAATTTTTAATTTCAGTCACAAAATTGGTCCAAAAAGTTTGGAGAGTTCCACAACCTCTGAAAATAACAAATTTGCTAAAGAACAAGGTTTAAGGATTTCGAAGACAGTAAGATAGTTAGAAGTAAAAATAAATTAGCATTCCGAAGGAGAACTTTAGAAGTTGTTTCTAAAACTTTTACAGCCAAGTAACGAAGCTTATCACGACAGGTGGAAATTACATCTGAACATACTAAATAGGTATGTACTTTGGCATAATATTTTCAGGAGTTATTAGACCATATCTGCAAATTTATAACCGCACCTTGTTCATTCAATTTCTTTTACTGATTTTACACATTTTAAAATGACGTTGCATAAGCAAGATATTTTGATGTATTGCTTACAAAATTGATATTGAATATTTCTGTAAATGCTGATTCTTCTGATTCAGACAAACGATAGAGGCTATTTTAAATAACCTTACAAAACAAGGCATTTGACTGATCGTAATTTTGCTGATTAATGCTACTTAATAAGTGATCAAAACTTGAGATTATATTTTTTCGCATGTTAATATTTTTAGACAAACCAGTTTAAATGAGACTTGCATTCTAAGCAATAACAATACACACACATATCCCACAGACATGAGCTAAATTGAAGTTTTGAAGGCAAATAGAAAAACGAGCTTATTTGGCAGAGGTAACATAATGTTTATTACTATTTTAAGACAATTTGATGCAAATTTTACATGTTTTATCACTTGTTCTAAGGAATATAATTTTTTTATTTAGTGAGCTAGTTTTTTTTTTCTTCCAATTTAAAGCTCCCCCCTTCTCTTTAGATCAGTTTTCACGTGTTCTATCATTATATAAAATAACGCCATTTATCTAAAATTATGTTAGAAGTGTTATGAGATCATACGGGTTATTCATGACTATGTTTTCTTAATTTATCTATGTTTAGCTAGCGACCTCTATGCTGATAATAATAATTACAGAAAATTAAACGGTTTCCAAATTAAAATCGTTTGCAATCTAATATATTAATATGCAAAAAAATATGAAACTGAGAATCACTCATTAATTTTAATGATCATTAATTTTAATACGATTTATATAAAAAAGAACATTTAATAGTATTTTAAATATTTAAAATATTTCTTTTAAAGTTCAGTCAATTTTTAGCAACAAAATAATTTGTATAATATACAAGTGATGTTTGACGTACAGATTTATATGACATCTATACGACAGGGGGGGGGGGAAATAACCCTAAAGTGTAAACCTTAACCTTTAAAAAACTTCGAATGTTTTCACCCTTTTTACATTTTTATTACATACATATATTTTATTTATAAATTACTTCCAGTTGTAGTTCTTATTATTTATTTGTAACGAATCATCACGCAAATCAAAAATTCCTTATCTTTAAGAACTCGCTCAGATAATAGCCATTAAAGCCTCGAGTCAATGAGATTATTGCAGTTTAAGTAACCCGAATTAAATTTGTTATCACTTATCAGTGTAAACCAGTATGACTGTATCATACGCTATCGCAAGATAATATAACAACAGAGCACGTATTGTGTCACGTACAAGATAACACTCACGGGAGTCAAGTTTGTTAATTATCTCTTCTAACAAGTAGAAATATTATTTTAGGATGTTCTTTTAATAGTTACATCAGGTAAGTAAAGGTTGTTTCTAAAACTTGCTTTAGTTAAATTTAAATTTATGTAAAAGGATAAAAAAATAACAGCATTAATTCTATTATGTCTATATCTTAAGATTAATTATTGGAATTATTAATTGTATTCTAATATTTTAACACTTAGTGTTGTTCCTATGTTCCCTTTGTCAAATTCTCTTAACTTTTCTTAAATTAAAAATGGCAAACATTGCTCTTTTGTTGAAGCAGAATTTTTATTGAACATAATTCATACTTTTGTCATTTTGTATTAATTAGGTCAAAATACATGAAACTATGATATTAAGCTTTTCAATAATTTTTTGTTGTAAAATACCGCATGAAAACCATGTCTTTTTTCGCGTTCAAGATAAAATCTTCCAAACTCGGCTCACTTCCAAACGATAATTTTTCAAATTTGCATTTATTTGCAGTTATTCAGATTTAAGAGAAACGGTTTTTCATCATTGAAATTTCTTTAATTTATGAAATCAATTATTGATAAATTTTTGAATATGAATAAAAAAACAATTACAACTACTTTTTTTTGTTTTTTGGATTTTATATTTTAGGGCAAATATAATTCCGATAATCTAAGAAATTTTTTTAGAACTATTACATTATTTTTTATAATTAAAAAATACCAAAATATATTTTTGCTTGTAATTAGAGGGTCAGAAAAATATATATACAATAGGGACATTGATGTCCCATCTGCGGTAAAGGGCTAACAACCCTTCTCAGAATGGTGTTTGCCGAAATTCGCGAGTAAAAGAATAGGGTTTTAATTTAAGTAAGCCAGTTATTTTACAGTTCTCCACTTGTAATTTAAAGTTACGGGTAGTGAAATACGGTATCTGTATGCGTGATTTATACTAGCTATATTCCGATATTAAATGCTAACTTCGGAATAATTTCAAGTTTTTTTTTGTGCTTCCATGTAAGAGTGGTGAAGATGACATTGTCACGCTTTTCTGAATTTCGATGTTCTAATATTAGAACTATGTATATTTCGCTCGAAAGTGTACTTGTCATAATAAAAAAGTCTTGAGAATAAGTTTGAATACGAACTTAAAATACTATCTAAATTTTAGATTGCATGCATTTTTACTTCAAATCGCCTTGTCTAAGATTTAATATAGCCAAGGAGTTGTTGAAAAGTGTTCTGCAGTCAGTAAACTTCGCAGGCATAACATATAATTGTTGAGCAATCTCTGAATAATTAATGAAGGGGCCCAGGAGCCTCTTATAGTTTTAAGAAGTTCTAAGTCTATGTTATGTATAGTGAAAGAGAGAAGAGAAAAAAAAGATATAAATTCCCCCTAATTAAATTTTGCTCCAATAATCGGCTGATTTTCGCGCACTAAATCTTAAATCAGAGTCTTAGAAATTCAAAAAGTTAACCTCATGCCAATTAGTTAACAGTTATTACTAATTAAATTACAGAATCAAACAAAACACGTATTTTCGTTGAATAAATATACGTTTTTTTCCAACTAATTTAGATTTTTAACAATCAAAATATGAGGGGGTGTAGGTACAATTTGGAAAAATTTCTTCCAATAGTATAATCAGGAGAGCTTTTGGAAGTTCGGGTCCCATAATGTTAATATCTCTTTTCGGGTCCCTTAATGTTAATATATCTTTTTGCGTATTTATAGAAATAACTCTGCAACATTATAAACGAATTGAAAGATTTTTGCACAACCATTATAACCGTTCATATAAAGATAATTCCATGCAGGAATAATTTTTAATAATTATTTATTATTTTGTTTAAAAACGGTCGATAAAATTTTTTTAAAGGTAAGGTACATAAATTTTTTACATTTTAAATTATATGATTTCAAATGAAAAAATCCAAGATTTAAAAAGTATTAAACGAATAGATTTTGAGGAAAGTTTTTTTTTCTTCAAATTTTATAACTCAAAAACTATTTGACCGATTTCGTTTAAATTTTAGATTTTGTCATTTAAAATTATGTAAACATTTATGTACCTTACAATTTTAAGTTTTTTTTCTACCATTATTAAATACAGTAGTTAAAAAATTAGTACATTATTATTTTGGGAATTGCTACTTTAGGAAAACGAATCTCAAAACTGTCTTAAAAATTGTTTGATAGGCTTATTAAAAAATCCCTTAATTTTAGAAATTGGCAAAAAAATAAATAAATAAATAAAATAAAATAAAAAAAAATTAAAAAATAAGGATCAAAACTTTTGACACTCCCCAGACTTAACTATTGCAACAAAATTTTCCGGAAAAAGAAGACATGTTTATTCAGAGAAAAACCGTTGTTTGTCTGATTTTGTAACTTAATTTATAGTTAGAACAATTAATTGACACATTTAAAGTCTACCCCTTGCACTGTTAAGTAAGTGCGTGAAAATCCGATCAATAGAGGAAAAGTAAATCTTGGTCATGTTATTTTGCCATACTTTACATATTTGTCATTCGACTTCAATTATTTCTATCGGGTTTATAATTACATTGAAGATTAGTTAAACTATTATTAGTGAATACATCTCGTATCCTTGAAATACAGGAAAACTACTCAAATGAAAAATAACTAGTCAAAGGGGTAAGTAACAAAAAAATATATATTATATCAACATGATGAATACAGGACAATAGATGATACTCCTTCTACACTAAAAGGTGTAGATGTCTTTTTTTACAAGCATCTTTTATGAAGGTTACTGTTTAAAGTAGTTACGAAATATAGATGGCAGTACAGTCATGTGATTAGTAAATGTTAATTTTTATGTATTATGTAGTTTAGTTCTACGTGTTTTGTCTCAATAAAGTTTTTTTTTTTTTTTTATATTTCCAATGAGCTGCACAATCGGTCTTGCCGATAAGCAGACCTAGTGCATTCTCCAGAGGTGGTATCCACTCTTTCAGGACCACCACAATGGGTGAGATACCGTTGGTCATGTTAATTTGGACGTCTAGTTTCTGCCACACTAGATGGCAGCACCGAGACTCTATTTGGATGCTAAAGTGCACTAGGAATTTAATTTTGCCGGAAATGCCAAGAGCCAATAAGGCACTCCAGGGATCTTTTACATGCCGCATAATCATACGACATGGCCGCTGAGGACTTTCTGCATCCCGAAAATCAGGTGTCTGGGCCGGGGATCGAACCCAGCAGACTTGGGCTCAGAAGGCCGACGACATATCAACTGCGCCACCCAGACACTACTTGTCTCAATAAAGTTGTGGTATTAAAACCAGCATGGCAATTTCAAACTGATTATAGTCAGGAGGAATATATTCCCCCCCCCCCCCCCGAGAAGAATACATTTTACAGTTTCGGTTACAGTCGACTATTAATGATGCCATCTAGTGGTGGTTTCTGATTTTTCCATAACATTGCATGCATTTAAACAATATTCGGAATTTGCCACTAGCATTATAGTTTTAAATAACTAAATATGATAACCGTATTAATGAAATTTTTTAAATCTTCGCAGTTTCAGAGTAGAATCTTCTATCCATCATGATGTTGCCGCTCACCTACAAATCCCTCATCTTATTGTGCTTATGCGCCCTGGCATACTCCGCAGCTCCTTCTACCAATGCACCTCATGAAAAAATGATAATGGACCAATCATTTTCCATGGAGCATCCTGGACACGATGGCCATGACCATGATAAAATGGACATGGGAAATGACACTCACGACATGGGCATGTCGGTAAGTGTACTTCCAATAAAACCTTCTTTTATATTACTGCTGAGTTCATACTTAAAAAACATATAGTAATTTTATTAAGCCTATTTTAAAAGTATTATTAAAATTGCTGTCTACTACTGTTCAAAATTAGGTTCTCGCAAACATATACTGAAGATCATTTCATTACCTGAGAATAAAGTCACTTGATGTGCTTTATATTATTTAAAAGAAGAAAGAGAAATTTCGCGAATAAGAAAGCAGTTTTGTAATTCACCATTTTTATCAATATTCTTTTCTCAAAGAAATTTTTAGGGGGATATTTTAAAAATTTTTTTAATTTTTTTAAAAAATGAATTCGACAATATGCATTCATACACAGCCCAAAATATTTTTCGTAAAAATTTAATTCATACTTCATAGTGAACTGAAGAAAAAAATCGCCAGGACAATATTTTTCTAAAAAATCGTGAAATTTTTTAGAACAGTTTACGTGTACCAGACTACTTTTAAAAAACGCAAACGACAAACTTAAAAAAAAAAAAAAAATAACAATAATTAGCTCTGATTCAGAATAATAAGGGCAAATTTTTTTGTAAAAGAATAATAATTAATTTTTTTTTTTTTTTTAAATCTTAAAATGTTTTGAAATGTTTGATTAGAAAGCTTTAGTCAAATGTTTATTTAGAAAGTTATAACAGTTCTCAAAACAATTGTATTAATGGAGTCTCTGAAAAATTTGTAATAGTTTGAGATGAATCTATAAAAGATTCTTATAGAACTGTTACATTAAAGCATAGTCAGTACCAATTAGTTAATATTCCCTTATATCAATGTTTAATTAAAATTTGTAATCGAAATGCAGATTTCTTTAATAAAATAATTTTGTTGTTGTCGCTAATGGCATTTAGACCAGCCAAGCTCACCAGCCATTGTCCTTTCAAATTAAGTTCGGAAGAAGCTCTTTTCGTGTGACAAGAGAGCACCACAAGGGTGAAATTGCGACTTAGCTCAGAATCTCACTCATAGATAGTAAAGCAACACATTCGCAAGGCCATTTCTACAATTTAGACATAGATCTGAAGGAAAGGAAATTTTTTCTAGATCTCTGAACCAGTGGTTCGGCTCAGTGACTGATCACAGGACTTTCGGTTCCACAGATTTTACGAGCATATATATCGCATGTATTCTGTGGGTCTTAGCGACTTCGAGGATCGAACCCCCATCCCTCCTGACAGAAGTCAGAGTGATGGGGGTTCGTTATTTCCAACTCCAATTGCGAATATTTGAGGGCCATGGTACCTCTGAGGTACCACGACCCTCAAATAATTTTAAAGGTTTTCTATAATTTTGGGATGAAAACTAAGTAACTATGCCCCTTTACATTTTTGTACAAAAGTAAATTATACTGTATTGATAGGGATAGATTATTTTCAAAATCAGATGACAGTGACGAATCCATGATTTAGAAGCTACAAAATTTCACAAGATTTGTTACCGCATTTGACGAAAATAATACATAAATGTGAAACCACTGAATTTCTCACCATAAAAATTTGATAAAGCAAAGTTAGCAATTGGGTTTTTGATAAAATGACTGAATTTCCAAAAAGTTTAAAACAATGAATCCTGCGAGTAAGGCTTTATGCATGAACAATGTATACAATTAATGGATGAGTTCTAAGTTTTAACTATCGAATCAAAAGATTTTTACTATCATTATTAATTAAAAATAAAAAATGCTAATCGAAAATCCAAATTTTTCGATTCTTTAAATCGTTTACTTTAAAATCCGCATTTGCATTCAAAGAAAATTTGATGTTCTAAGCACACACACAAAAATTAGGAATATCAGGACAAAAACTTGGAAATCAAGGAAAATAAGGACAAAAGTTTTTTTTTTTTCAAAGGAATATCAGGACAACGAACCATGTGTAATTTATATAAATGATAAATGTCAATACTTTTTCATTGATGTGCGTATCGATGAAATTTTCGCCTGTCCATTTTACTGTACCTATTTTCTTAAACACGCTTTTCCAGTGGTGTCCATTTCCGTAAACACGCATTTCGATCTGAGTCCAGATTTAAAAACTCACCACTCGCAAATGTTAAAACCTAATTTTGACATATTTGATCAAGATTGAGAGTTTTAGAATTTCCGATCACAATTTAACATCAGAAAATAACTCTATTGCTAAGTGTTACCGACAGACAAGGAGATTACGGTAGAGCTTGATTGTTCTAATGATTAAAATTCTGAATTTGTAATTTAAAGTGTGAAAATGAAAGTATTATCTGAACCAAAGGGCGATCCAGGAATGGACTTAAAAATTTATATCTTACAGCCCGGTGCAGTAGTGCATTACGTCAGGTAAAGTTAACTTCAAACTATATTAAATGGGTATATATTAACATATATATTTTTTGCCAATAGCCCATTGTGCGATGTAAATTAACAACAATAACAATAACACATATTTTTAGGGGTTATTATCAATTCTAGAAATTAATGACCACATTTTGTACAAACGAATAGGTTATATGACGGCAAACATAATAACATGATTTACATAATTATAATTACAATTTACCTTTAGTCGACTCTTTCTTCTTCGCCAATTGCTTGATACTAAGCAGTTGAAGACAAAATCTCAATTAACTAGACAATCACATTTAATAGCGAAAACTGTAATTTTACACACACATGCGTCCCGCAGTGGACTGATCGTTAAGACACGGTTCCCAGCAGATCGCCGAAGTCAAGCATCACTGGCTGCGGTCAGTGAGCGGGTGGGTGACCACTTGGATCAGCCTGCATATGGTGTGCGGTATTGGTCCTCGTTAAACTGTTCTAACGTAAAGTTCTCGACTTCTCGTGCAGGTCGTCGGGCTACTGAAGCGAAGCCCCTCTGCAGAGGATCAATATTGTGATGGCATGTCTTCGGATCATCCTCAGGGGCGTTTCCCAGACGGTCGCCAATAGCCCATTGTGCAGCTCTAGTGCGACGTAAATGAACAACAACTACAACAACAACACACACATGCCTTGGAGCGTATAGGCCTTATTTAGATTGCAGAAAAGTGAGACGAACTCTCTGCGTTTGCTTATCCGCCTTGTTTATTTTATTTATTAATTAATGCAACATACATTTGCAAAGCGTGGAGGTAGCTGGTTCGAATCCCACTGTTACCTTGGATTATCATCGTGCTATAATTTTCAGTATTGTGCTATCTGTCCTTTTATTTGGCAAAGGTTTATAATCCTAAATTGAGCATACACAAGCCTGCAAGTGTATGTTATTCCAATAAATAAATAAAAACATTTGCAGACCAGTGGGCTCAACTAAGGTAGTAGTAGTAGTTTATTTACGTCGCACTATACCTGCACAATGGGCTATTGGTGACGGTCTGGGAAACATCCCTGAGGATGATCCGAAGACATGCCATCGCAATTTTGATCCTCTGCAGAGGGGATGGCACCACCGCTTCGGTAGCCCGACGACCTGCACGCGAAGTCGAGAACTTTACGATAGAACAGTTAGTTTAACGAGGACCCATACCGCAGACCCTCGGTCCCTACGTAGACTGATCCAAGTGGTCACCCACCCGCACACTGATCGCAGCCAGTGACGCTTGACTTCGGTGATCTGCTGGGAACATCTTAACGATCAGTCCACTGCGGGACGGCTCAATTAAGGCAAACAAATCTTTGTCAAGTAGAAGGACGGATAGCACAATACAGAAAACAAAGTATACATCCAGGATTAAGACGGGATTCGAACCCGCTCCTTCCACGTTTAACAGTGCGCTTAAAGGGCGGTACTACTCTGCCAGAGGGAGGCCCGTTATAGGCCTTGTTCGCATTGTTTATTGGTACAACATACGTTTGCAGACTTGTGTGCTTAATTAAGCCTTTGTCAAGTAGAACAGATAGCACAATGCAGAGAAGGACAGCATCCAGAGTAACAGCAGGATTCGAACCCGCTACATCCACGCTACGCACAGCGTTTGGTGGGCGATACCGCTCGGTTCGTATTGTTCTACCACGAAACATTTTGGATTTATTTATTCATTCATATGCAAACTTGTGTACTTATTGTAAAGTAAGGTTTATAATAACTGTTAAATTAAAGAACAGATAAGACAAGTTAGAGTAGGGCATCACAAACATACATTCAGGATTACGAACCCATTTCCTCCAAGAGCGTTTGGTAGTAAGTTGAAACCCCTCGGTCATTTCTGCTTTTGAGTAACTCTAGCTTTAATCTTAAGAGTTTATTGAAAACTAATGCTTATTAAAATTTTTACTTGAAAACATATGTCCTTAACTCGTTACATTCATCTGCGCATGGCCTGTTATATAACGAGAACGAGAAAAGATGTTTTGTTAAAAACGCATATTTCTAAATTCAGTTAAATATTAAGTAACACGTTTTCTCACTAAGCTTCTTTGTAAGCCAACATTCTCCTAAATAGTCGTTGAAAAATCTCTAAATTTGAAGCTTTAACTTCAGTTTAATCAAGCGAATCCGAAATCGAGTAGGTGGAATCGTTCCCAGGATGTGTTCTGCATTTCCTATTGTGAGCAACTTTTTTTATTATTTACGTACAGGATTACCTTTTTATTCATAGTATTTATTGTGATTTCTGAAAGTTTTATAAAGCCATCCATGGTACAAAAACCATTTTATGTACACATGCTTAGTAGCGATGCAACTAAATTGATTTGTGAACTTTTTTCCGCCTAACACCTCCAAGAGAGAACAAAAATCATCCAATTTGTTAAATGAAAAATTTCGAATGAATAAAACTAAATACATTTTTAAATTTCATAGGGTGTTTAAAAAGAGAAAGTACATAGAGTTGAAATCAGTGCGCATCAAAACATTTAAAGTTGCTACATAACACATTTGTTGCTTTCTTTGAAACACTTGTGTAATAATAGCATTTCTTAATTTTTATTGCAAATAATTTATTATTTTTTTAGATGTTTTTTCATTTCCGAGTGCACGAAGTTGTCCTTTTCGCCGACTGGAAGATTACTACAGTTGGAGGTAGGATTATTATGATTTAAATTAAATTTCATTTTCATACTATAGATTAATGAATTGTTTTAGACTTGCTGAATACCTGTACTTCATAGATTGATGAATTATTTTAGACCAACTGAATACCCGTATTGATGAATTATTTTAGACCAACTGAATACCCGTATTGATGAATTATTTTAGACAAGTTGAATACCCGTATTTTATACAGGGTGAAAAAACAGAATCAGTTCTGAACTGTCAAGTTCTGTTCTATAAAGGCATACACAAAACTGAAAGACAAACACCGACACAAATAATAAAGCTAAAATAATTCCAATGTTTTTTTAAAAAATTATTTATTATTATTTGTTGCCCCTCAAGGTTATTTTACGTTATTAGATTCAGCAAAACACGTATTTAGTTGTATATCCCATCAAAATAGAGATTAATTGAATTTAGTATCATTTCTCATGTTGTTGAACTCATAATATTTAAAATTTACCTTATTCAAGCAACTTTCTCCTGTACTTATATCTTTGAGGGGCCTTAAAAAACTTATTTGCGCAGTATTTACCCCGAAAATGCACAGTATTAATGCAGCTTTAATAGGCACCAAATATAGTATAAAATAGTTTGAACCTATATAAAAGTTTATTTGGTACCTATTAAAACTGCAACAATTATTATAATGCAAGTATTGCCAAAATTAAGCATCATTATCACCAATGATAGTATGGCGACTTTTCACGATTCCCCATAACGAATCAGTACATAGCTTAGTTTTTTAATTTCAGTTAGTATCTACTTATTAACAAAATGAATGACGCAACATTGACGTCAGTAATTGTTTTCCTAATAATTTACGCTCTCTTAAACGAAATAGTACCACTCCTCCATTTATTTTGCTTTATAATACACAACTAATTTTTTTACTTCAATTCGTAACTGTTACCAAAATTAATCTGGTCTCAAAACAATGCTCGTCAACAATTTAAAAAAAAAACTTAATAAATTATAAACTGACAAATTCGCATGAATAAAGCAGAAAAAATGGACACAAATGCTTAATTCACGTTGTTCTGCTTTGTTCATGCGTAGCACGAAGCATATCCTATCTTCATTTGAATTTAAATGTTTACTTATTTCAGGTATGGTCGCATCTGTGATTGGGATCTTCATCCTGGGGATGCTGTACGAGGGTTTGAAATATTTCCGAGAACATCTCTTCAAGCAATACGTATCCACCATCGAATTCTCAACAGTCGCCATCACGGCAGAAAGTGGAAAGGTGAACCAAGTCCACAAAGTGAAAAGGTAATCAATTTTAAAAAACGTGTTATGTCTCTTTCTGTTATTCTGCTATTAAAGGCGATTTTCGTTGGGAAAAGATATTTTGCGAACAGCTTTTTAATGTTTCTAAGCATTTTAAAGCTGTTTTTTTTTTTATCAAACTCATTAGAAATACCACATAATTCTTTTTCAAGAAGTCTTTTTAATCGTTTTAAACTCAATGAAATAATCAGATTGAACTCAATATTTTTTATCACATAGCAATGTAAAACTGCATACTTTTCTTCTAAGTTTCACCTCTAAGTTAAATGTTAAAAACTTTATGGTTTACCTAAACTCATTTTTTCTATACTTAAAGTTACCAATGGAAGTTGAAACAGAATTTTTCATGAAAAGTTTTTCCCAGTGATATAGCGTCCTGCTTTTTGGCACCAAATGCACTTATTTTATTTTTATCGAACTTGCAATCTTCCACTCTTTACTAAAGAAGTAAGCCGTCATCTATTAACTATTAAAATGGGATTGGTTAAAGTGGAACGCGAAACTTAAATTCATTGAGTCCTCAAATCCAAAAATATACTATTTTTTTTAAAACTTTGTTTCCTTTCTCAAAAATGCTCGATACTTTTAAGAACAAATGTTTTAACTTACATAGCGCAATTTATATTAAATGCTTCAAACAAAACCTTTAGCTTATTTGCTCGATTTTCTTCCATTAAAATGTAAGTGACACAAAGATAAAAGATTGAAGTTATAAATTAGGTACTTCTATGCATCTAAAACTGTTGGTCATTGCATGCAATTTTTCTTTTTCAGGCATCGCATGCTGAGCTATGCACATGCGATTCAAACTGGTCTTCACGTAGTTCAAATCGTGGTCAGCTATTTCTTGATGCTTATTTTCATGACCTACAATGGTTGGCTTTGCATAGCCGTAGTCTTGGGCTCCGGAGTCGGTTACTTCGTCTTTGGATGGAGGAAAGCATCTGTTGTGGACATTACAGAACACTGCCATTGATTTTTAGACACATTTAGAAAGTAAACTACCAATTTCATAAGATAAATTCAAAGCAAGTCATCGCTTCTTGTGTTTCAAGAAAAGAAAACCATTGAAATCAGTTAACAAAAGTAATATCGAGCTTTCCTGTCAAACTATTTAACGAATTAAATCTGATTTTGATATAAATATGTACAACAATTCCCTTAACTGTACGTGTTGATTGATTGATTTCGTAACCTAGGAGTACTGAAAATTGCAATATCTATTTTTGTAAGATAAATCAATGACGAGTTTTCAATCCATGTTTGAACCAAGGAAGACTACTGAAATTAGTTTACAAAAGTAATATCGAGCTTTTCCGCTAAACTACTTTATGATTTAACTCTGATTATGATATAAATATGTCAATTCCTGTAACGGAATTAGTCAACTAGCCACACTTAATAATTTCATTGGATGTCGATAGAATTATTTTTATCACATTTAACCTTCAACGTTGTCTTACAGAAAAAGCTAATGACGGTTCATAACTAGTAAAAAAGAAATTGTCCGATTTCATACATGTCTCCAAATCAGCAAATATAGATATTCCCACTTATGTAACGTACACCCCCACCTATGTATTAAATTCTTGCACCTGCTGATTCATTCTACAATGGCTGAAAGTCTATTTTGAGGAAGATTTTACAATTTCATTGTGGGAATTATATTTTCATATGACTGTGATGAACTTACGTGCAATAATGGAAATAATATTTAAGAATTTTTTTTTCTTCAGCTTTAACAATTTATATCAGTGGTAGCTTCATCATTTCCATTTTATTTTTTGTATAAGTTTTGTATAAATATATTGCGAATATTTGGTTTCATTAAATAAAAGTGCATTAAAATATTTATATTTAATGTTGGCATTTGCCAATTTATTTCGTTAGGAAATAAATTCAGTTTTTACAACAAAAGTTTAAAACAGTTAAGATGTCTTTTCAAATAATATGAATTTTTTTTAATAAAAAATTTAGAATAATTGAACATTTATATTGATAATTTTAAGGATGTTAATTTTAAAAATTAGTAATTTTAAGAAGCATAACTTTTAATAAATATTTAAATATTTTTTCAAAAATTGCTGTCTTAATATCAATGCCAAAAAATATGAAATATTTTTAATATGAAAAAAAGATGTACAGCTTTTATTTATAATTAATCATAAAATTATCAACTTATTTTACAAGAGATAGGAACTTAAATGTTTCTTCAAAGGAGATTATACTTAACACTTGTTACGTTTTGCATAGAATTGTTTTGAAATACTATGTAATTATTATATAATAAGCATGCATATTTAATTTCAGTAATTAATATACAGATCTTTAGAAATAAATTCTGTTAGATTTAAAAATATATTTTAAATAAAAATATACATACAGCTACTGTATAAGTGCATTTTTTATACATTTAATATTATAATGAGAAATTAAACTAATTAATTATTTACAATATATAAATTAAAATTTGAAACTGCATATTTGTAATTAAACCTAATAAGTGATGCAATACAAAGAATGTAAATCATGAATATCTCATATATTTAAATATACAATTGATCTCTATTGCATCATCTGAATTGTACATACAAATGTAAAAAATATTTGTAAATTTTTATATTGAATATTTATAACTGTTTGTGATTATGTACATGTAAATAAATATATGTATACCTTAAACGTGTATGCCTCCTTATAATCGCTTTAACAGAATATAACGACTTTAGGGGTAAACATTTTTATTTCCTGCTTAATTTGAGAGGCAGTGTCACTTAAAAACGTCAGACATTTTAATAGTTTTTATATGTCACTTTTAGATACCAGCATTCTATAGAATTTTAATTATTTTCCTGGCATTTTATATCCATTATTATTAACCATAAGTTTACTGCATACCTGACATTTTACATCCATTAATTATTAAAATATTCAGGGGTGATTGTTAGCTCAACTCAAAAATCCTGAAAATTTCTTGAGTAAAATCATTAATGACGCATTTCAAAAAATTTATGTCTTTATAAATTTAAAACATTGATATTTTCACAACATGAAATTCTAAATAAATTATATGCATCGTAATTCTTGTTCGAATATTTTTAAATAAAATACACAAGAATTTTTTATACATAAATGCATCAGTGATTTCTTGAAACTTATGGACCTTTGATTTTCCGGTTCGTGGTAAGTGAAAAATCAGGAAATCAGGATTTTTTCCAGAGCTCAATCATCTCTGAATATTAAACAAGAGAATAATTAAATTCTTTACCTAGGCATTTTACATAAAAAATAAATATTCTATAGCATCCATTAGTAAATCTATAGAATGACAAATGCTTTAAAGATAAAGTATGAAAAAATTAACGAAAACTGCCATTTAAAAATTTATTCAAAATATGTACAAAAGATTTATATAATTTTTATTTAAAAAATTTTATTTACCATTACCACAAGAAACTACTTTAAACTAACATCACAATCATTAGTCCCTAATTAAAAATATAAAATAATCATATTTAATACTTGACACTTAGGTATTCTGGCTTAGTAAAGGATAAAAAAAAAGTTCGGAATATTTTCATAAAATAGGAAAAATCAGGTCAATTTTTTGAAATAGTATGCTTATAACAGGCTATTTTTAAAAAATGTTGCTTCAACATTGACTCTAGTATCATAACCTATTAACATATTTCATATTAAGATAGATATTTTTAAATTTTTTCCAAGTCCCTGTACACTTGAAAAAGCTTTTAAAATGTATTCAGCTTTAATACTTAGAAACCAAATTCAATAGAACACATTTGAATGAATAAAATGAAACAAATAATATTCAAACGCATTAACTACTCAATAAGAAAAGAAATTAAAATTATTAATTCTCCACAGTTTAACATGGTGGAAGCACACTTCCTTGCCTGACATATGGGGACCCTTACTTAAATTCAATCGTGTATTACTCATACGAAAAATCGAGACAAAATTGAAATTGGTACCAATATACACATAGATTTAAATAGTTTTACTGCAAAAAACCCCACTTAGCCTATAGACATGTTATAAGACCACTTGCGAACTTAAGAATATCAGTTTTAGAAAATGCAAATAGAATCATTAAGAAGTTGCTTAAAAAATATATTTTTCCATTTTATTTTAATTTCTCAGAAGAGTAAACGTATGCTAGAATAAACTTACAACTAATCACAATACATTTTTAAATCCAAAAATCACAAGTTTTTAAAAAATTATCAGTTTAATAAATTTTCTGTTAAGCTCTTCAGTTTGCATCAGTTCCTATACTGGATGGCTCAAATATAGATGAATATTTCATAAATTATTTCAGACACATAACACTTTAAGATCCACATGAATATATTTTTTCAAGGCTATTGCAATCCAAGGCCTTCCTAATTAGTCTTTGCCATCTGGTCCTATCCACAGCAAGGCTCCTTCAGTTTCCCTTAATTACTATATGAAAGTCCATCTCCACAGTCAAGCCACCCAATTGGTGGTCTTCCTAGTTTTCTGTTCGCCTTGGGATTAGTGAAAGTGAGCCTTTTTACTAAATTTGTATTATCAGATTGTAGCAGACGTTTGAGCCATCTTAATCTATTGCATTTTACGACTTAAATAAAATCAGGTTGCTTGCTTAAAGTTAAACAAGGATCTGCAACTATTATTCTTATGAACTGCACCAAATATTTCTCTTCAGATTTTCCATTCAAAAGTCAATAATTTATACAAATAAACATGCTATATTAATTGTACTCCCCTATTTTGATTAAAGCATGTGCAGATTTTAGATTTATTTACACTGCAAGATTTTTCTAAATATAGAAATTAAATAAATTCTATGCAACCAAATAAAAATAAAAATAGGAAAAGGAATTTTTAAATCTAAAAAATAGAAAAAGGAAATAAAATCAAATTGCTTGTACTATAGATAAATTTTAAAGGATCTGCAATTATTATTCTCATGGACTGTACCAAATATTTTTCTTAAGATTTTCCATTCAAAGGTCAATAATCTATACAAATGAATATGCTTTGTTGTACTCCCTGACTCCCCCTATTTTGATTATAGCATGTGCAGATTTCTGATTTAATTACATTGTAAGATTTTTTTAAACATATAAATTAAATAAATTCCATGCAATCAAATTTTTTAAAAATATAGAAAAAGGAATTTGTTTTAAAATTTAATGTTAAAAATAATTAAGACTAAATATTTGTTTTTGTAAAAAAAAACTAAGCCTAATTAAAATATTGAAATGATAAACCTTAGGTTAACATGAGAAAAGAAGCATGGAGTATGCAAAACAAAGTGTATAGTATGAAATATTTATTCAGGTTACAATGGTGATACATGCAAGTGATGAGCTAATTGTTCTCTGAAGCTTTCGAATGACTGTACATATGACTGTATAAAATATTACTTAAAATACATAAACTCGTTGTTAACAAATCCATTACTTTAAAAATAAAGGTTCAAATTCTGTGACCAAAACAATTCATACAGATGCAAACATGCTTATACAGTTCATGGAAGTAATGTCAAGAAAAAATCTAATTACATATACTAAAAAAAGTGGTGTAACAAACACTAAAATAAAAAAAAGCATATCTGAATTTAAAAAACAAAACTACATAAGTCAGTTGCTGTAATTCCATTATAAGTATATCACTATTTAAGCCATTTTAGATCCAGTTTGAGATTTCAGTGGCAAATATGGAGAAGCATTTTTCATGCGAATATATATATGATGTATTGAGGGATCTGTAGAATTTTTAGATTTCCAGACCTTAATTGCAGGAATGTTTGTAAAAGGATAGAGCTTTATTCTAATGATAACAATACCAGATTTATTTTTTATGGCTGCAGCACAGCTCAGTAGCGTAGCATAAACAGTTATTCAGTTCACGATTGTTTGAGATATATGTAATGACATATAAAGTAGGATTTATGTACTTTGTTGAGTTATATTTCATAATTTAATTTCATGGTAGTATTTATCACCAATAAAATAATAAATCTACTTACTATCATTCCAAATCTCATGCACTATCAAATCGGGCTGTTATAGATTTGGCAGATAAAATTGGGCTGCACTTCGAATTCAATGTAAGTTTACGATTGGTGCCAGATATGTATAATGTACATAAATGCCATTTGTGCCAATCGCAGAAGATTTTTAACATAACTTAATAGAAGCAAAATACGGTCAAAATTCCTTTATTTTATCCTGTAATCAATAATTTTCAATATCGCAAAAAATATTTTGGTATTACTTGTTTGAAAAAACAGTTGTAATTTCTCAATTCTACCTGATAACGGATTCTCAATTCTAATTGCTTTAGTTTACCAGCAATTACGTCACTGTATTTGACATTCAGGGATGTAAAATAATCAATATAGAGTTTTATAAAAGATATATTTTTTAAAAAAATCAGCAATTGCCCAAATAGGCAGTAATGAAAGGGTTGAAACTAGTTTCAAGAGTTAATTAACGTTGTGACATTTACAAGTTAATTAACATTGTGATATTTAAGAGTTAATTATAATTGCTCACAGAAAGTTTTTTTAAAGAGATTTTCTGTAGTTTTCAATTTTATCCAAGTCTGATTAGTGCTCTACTATTTTTAATGATATCAATCACTGTATACCCGTGGGTTATTTTGTTTATAACTAACTGGTTGAGCCATCAATATGCCATTTTGATTCAGCTTGAATTTCTGACAAGGTTACAAAATCTTATCTCCGAGGTTTGAAAGAAATAATTTTTCATTCAGTCAACGTTTGGAAATACTACTAAAAACTTACACAAGTTTAGGAGAGAGGCATGCAAGTGGATAATAAAAATGACCCCCCCTGTTTATAAGTATACACTTAGAATCATTAAAATAAATGGAGAGTACTTCAATGGTAATGGAGAGTATTTCAATGGTAATAGAGATTACCACAACGGTAATACATTAGACATTATTAAAAATAAATGCAGAGTACTACAATGGTAATCATCGCTAATGAAAGATAACTGATTTTCTTTTGTTGTCAGAAAGTAAAGACTTGATCTACTACAACCTTTAGTGATGTCATCCTGCTTATACCAGCCACAATAGCTATGAAACAACCAACCTTTCTCACATTAAGTTTGGTGATCCTACGGTCAGCCGTTTGAGTGAGATCAATAGGCCTCTATGCAACTGTGATTTGATGCCATTAGATCGTTTCTTACAAAATGCAACAAAAAGTCGTCGCTAAGCAAGTAATTCACAAATTATTTGGAGGATTTTGTTTGAGCAATGTAACAAGGAACCATAGAAAAGGTACTGAAAATTAGATTCACAGGATGGGCAATAGTAAAGCTAATCGCGGAAGCCAGTTGAATGAAGTCGTATTCCATCAATAATCGGAAGCTTCGTTATCGTCAATAAAGCAATAACATTTGGAAAAACATCGATTTGTGCTCATTGCATTCCAAAAAATAAAACCCCTAAATAACCAAGAACATATGTACCAGCTTCCAATCACAGGATATAGGAAGAATCTTAGGTAGGAAAGCAACCAGGTTAAATGGTATCAAACTAAACATGCACAAGGAGCAAAGATTTCTGACCCTGCAATGTCCAAGGTCGAACGGTTATAATTCATGAAACTTCAAAATGAAATCACCCGCAGAGAAAAAAAAATGCAAGACTATTACAATGGAAGTATTCAATTAAATATCTAAACAAAACTTGCCAAAAGAACTTTAGGGCACATAAATAACAGACTCAACTGAATAAAAGTGCACTATTACAACAAATAATGTCAATATAAAAACAAATATGTTAATATATATATTTTTAAAGACTAGGCCCTCTGAGTCAACATCTATTTCACTATAAACACCAGTTTAAATAAACTAAGTTTATTTCAGTGAAAGAGGAATGCATTTTGTTTGAACTATATAGTTGTTTTAATACAAAAAGACATATTTACAACCATTAGAGCATGGATGTTGATAGCCAGTTTTCATTTTTAAAGGTATATTTTCAATTTTGACTGTAATTTTTCTTCTATTTTTTTACAGCCATGATCAGAGCCATGAATACAATTTTAAATGTTTTTAATTTATAAAAATATACAGCTACCATGTAACTGAGAATTTTGCTTAAGAAATTAATGTTATAAAGATTATAATTTATGCAAATAATAAATATCAGGAGCTTAACGTTTTTTTTTTTTTTTTTTTCAGATTTAAATTACAAATTTGGAGAAATAAAAAGTTTATGTACCATAAATGTGTTTAAGTAATAATGGTTTCTAATTTAATCTTACTTTAATATACATTTACCATCATTTGTGTAAACACAGAAAGACAAATGAAGCAGAAAACTGGCAAAATAAAAGAGTTACAGGCATACTACTGTATCAATGGCATAAACAAGTATCCTCAGTGCCAAGACTCAGGATCTGGCACTGATGATTGATTTGTAGCTTGGATCATCATGTGTGTTGACACTTAATGATGGTACATGTTTGAAGTACTTCTACAACTTTTTTAGTTTAATTTGTGCTTTAGTTAATTTGTGGTATATTTATTCCAAAACAAAGAAGGTCACTTTTCTGCAATATTTTAAAAAGCAAAAGTTACAATTTTGATTATCACAAGGATCATTTATTCTATACAGTTTTAAGAATTGCATACAATTTGAGAAAAAATATCTTATTATTATAAATTTTAATATAAATAATTGTTTGCATTTCAATTATTTTGAGACCATTTAAAGAAACTTTAATATTATCAACATCCAAACAACCATTCCTTTCAATGCCATATTATAAAGATTATGTAGAATTGGTATTATAGGTATAACAACATTCAATTCTAAATTATTTAGAATTACAGTTTATATCATTTGCCTACATCTTCTACAGCAAGTTACTATTTTTTTGCACGAAACTCAATATTTAAAAAAATATTTTCTTATGCACATTGGGCACACTAGTTCATAATATCTTTAAATATTTTAGATTATTTACAAACTGAATTAAAATATTTAGAGTAAAAAATAAACACATGAGAGAATAAGTTAAATTCATAAACTATTAAAATTAATCAGTTATTTTTATATAAGAAAACAGTACCAATATAATTAAGCGCCAATTATTTTGCAAGTAGGCAACTTTGTGTAAATATCTCACTCTTATACATAGTTCTCAATGAAAGTGAGAAAAGCAGATTTGTTGCGCAGAAAAACATGCATAATTAAATGCAGTTTTCTACCATCAAGTCTACTATAAGCATTTTAACCCTCTAAGCGTGAAGTCTCACAGCAAAATTGTATTAAAAATAATTCTGCTGCACTTTCCCAATGGAAAAAAAATAAGAAGAATTATTTTTTTTGGTGCAGGATAAATATTGATTTTATGGTGTTTACATAGTGATGTTACAATGAATATGATCAATTTGAAATATGATTAAAATGGCAACATTATAATAATTTCAAAATATTTTTAAAAGCAGTCATTTTTATAATAAAAGGCACCTAAATAAGAAGACAAATTGCCAAAAATGCGCAATGTAAAAAATTTTCAGATATCACTCTAAGACAAATAGAAAAAGCACGAGATAACATTTATACAAAAATTTATTTTTTGAACATTTATCCAACCTGTACTTATAATGAAAACTATCAATAAAATTAAAAAGATAGTTAAAATAAAATGATTTATTCTTAGATAACAAATAAGAATGAATAAATGCAAAAATAATTAAATTTTTGATTTTCAAAAATATGACAAAGATATTTTAGCTTACAAAAATATTATCATTACACTTTATTATAATAAAATTATATATTGTATTATAGTTAATTTCTAAAAATATAATTATGCTTAGCATTGAATGTTAACTCTTTCATTACGAGTGCTGTATTTAGCCGAAATCCATGTGATGCCCTCTGTGTACTAGCACCAAATTTAGCCCCAGTTCATACGCACAGGGCAGAAGTTGGTTTGCCTTGTTTCAAAATTTATCACACAGAAATAAATTACTAAGATTCTTTTGAATTATCCTAAATTACATTTCTATTTATAATACTTGCAAAATCTTCAAATATATTCATATGTAACACTAAAATGGGAAAATCAGAACATTAGTTTATCAATATGCACGGTTAAATGGCGTCACTTCAGCAGAGTGGACAACCGTAACAAAAGGGTTAAGCAAAAAATACATTTTAAATTGGGATATATATATGAATATATTAAATTCAACATACAAATTGTAAATAAGATGTAATTTTAATTTTCAATTTTTACATTCGTTAAAATTCTCATCAAGAAATTAATAGATATAACTAGACTAAAATCAATAAAAGTAGTCATTTTTGGTAAATTCTTATAGTTCTTTCAGCAAACAGATATTAAATATATATTATATATATATATAAAAATCTTTTTTGAACACTTGTAGCATTAATCTACTAAAAATGTAACAGCAAGTGAAATTTTGTTAACTGAATCAAAAGATGGTCCCAAATTTAATACTTTAAAATAGATAATAAGACTAAAAAAATTAAATTACAGATATTTAGATGAATTACTTGTAACTAAACACAACCAGTAAATAATTTCAATAGATACACACATGCAAAACTTTACTAAAATTTGCAAAAACTGTAATATTCAATTGAACATATAGGAATACATTAGGTGGGAATGTTGCTATATCAACAAACTAATTATTTAATTTTTCATCCTTTAGTAGCATTACAAAAACATGAAAGTAATAGCATAAGGGAATTATACTAACAAAGGGAGATCACAATTCAGACTTAAAAACAAAGTTAAGAGACATAGAACGTGACCGATAGATATTTTTAATTAGCACTCAGCAGAATTCAAGTAAAGTAAGTAAAAATGGGAGACGGAAATTCCACTATCGACTAATTAACATTCTATGGTTTTCGGATTAAAATATGGCAGATAAAAAACCAGTTTATAGATGATTCAGTTCATAGAACATTTCTAACAGCTAAATTAATACAACAAACTTATAAAAAATTTTGTGTATAATTACTACCAACCATACACAATCTTATTTATTTTTTATTTAAAAAAAAAAGAAATGCATTAAGATGTGCTTAATTGGATTAAGTTAAAGCATGATAAATACATAGAACCTTTTTCTTCCAATTAGTTGAGATAGATAAAATGACAGTCAGTTGATCATAGAATTGAAAGAAAAAAAAAATCATTAGCAAAGTGGAAGCACATGCCATTAAGCTGTAAATACATTTTCAAACAAATTACAATGACACACAATAAATTTAATACAGTTTTTTCTTAATAAAAAATTATTTGAAAATAATTCATAGGTAAAGAACTACAGAAGGAGCAAAATAAACTTTCACACAGATAAAACTGATATATGAGTCAATGGCAATATATAAAGCACTGGTATTTAAGTAAAGGCAAGTGTACTGAAGTATAAAATATAAATACAAGAGATTCAAACTAAAATTAAAAATAACAACTTACTTTTTAAATTAAATGATTCTAAAAGTTCATCAATAAGCTTATTTGCAGCAAGGTTTAAATAATTATTTAAATAAAAAAACTTTTTATCACAATAATAATAAATAAAACCTAAAACAAGACAAATGACAAATAAATGTAAAAGCAAAAGTTATAATTTTTGTAAAATAAGATCACAGAGTAAAATTAACAGACACAGAATATTATGATGAAGATATATTGCGTTTACAGTTCAACGGTAAAGGCAACCCTTTATAATAAAAAAAAAAACACTGCATATTAGAATTATTTTAACCAAATTCACTAATATTTTTTCCTACCAACAGAAAGTTTTTTTTTTTTTATAAAACAAAATTTTTTTTAAATTTAATATTATTAATGTGAATCTAAATTATAATTTGTTTTGTATAAGAATTGAATCTTCTGATAAAATATTTCTTCAAGTAATTAGAGTTAGATTTAAATGATACATTAGATTTTAATTTTATCAAACTAAACTTTTTTCTAAATAAATTACAAACACTATGCTTACAATATTACAAAATACTAATAATGTCTGTATTAATAATATTACAGACATTATTAATATTGCATTATGTGTATGTAATTATTAATAATTAATGAATGTAAGTAATAATATTTAATAATGTCTCTCATAATTAAAGTTACATAAATATGATAACTTAAACCAGACATAAAATGCGTTTACTAAATAATTAAGTTTTTGACAAAAATGCAGAAAAAGTAAAATGAAATAAATTCAGTTTAAATTATTTCTTTAGATCATAATGTAAAATAATTCTAAAACTTTTATTAACTAAAATACAGAGTCTGAGGGTTCTAAATCAAGTGGGATCATTTCTATAATAAAAATGTATATGTTTTCAAGAAAGCAAGTTGAAATCACAGAGCACATTATTTAAAAATATCTCAACTCAATTTAAAAAATCTGTAGTATTTTTTTTAACATTTATTTTAGAAACACACATAAAAACATTTAGCACTATTAAGAATAGAATTTTTTTTTCTTTCTTTAAACATATCTATAACCATCCAATCTAACATACATATCAGGATAAATCCAATGATATATTTCAAATAAATAAAATGATAAACCACTTGAAGTCAATTAAAGTTAAATGCTTCCTTTTTAAGTCGGAAAATATCTATATGTGGCAAATTATTTTCCAAATCATACTTCTACATTTATGATTAAGAACTGTTCAATAGTGTTTAACTGTACACAGATGGGAATCTTTGAACTAACCAAACTGAGTTTGTTCATAGCCGAATGGAGCCATTGCATATTGCGGCATAAGTTTCTGGTGTTAATGGCTTGTAAGTGTGTGATTTCTTATCACCAAAGAAAATAGGATCTTTAATAACATTTGGATCAAACCCTTGCTTCTGGAGATCAAATTTCTTTAATTTGAAAGTGCCTAAGAAAAAATTCTTTCATTTAAAAAACAATGTATTATACTTTAATGTAAAAAATGCAACACAATGGATGGTGTTTTCTACACTAGGGAATGCTGCAAGCTCGGTACCGCCTAAATTTCCGGTGTACTGTTTCCGTTGTATTTTAAAGCCATTTGGCATTATTGTGTTTTGAGATTCTTGCAAAAAATGCATTTGATTACTTATTACTTGTGTTTACAATGCTAACAATACTTGCATTTACAATGCTAAAAGTGTTAACACTAACGTAAGATGGTGCACAGCTTGCAACAAGAACAAACAGTAATTAACTTATGGAAAGAGGCCATATCAACACTGCCAAAAAAGCAAGCTATTCAAAATCTAGCAACCCTGTCACCTTTTTTAACAATATACCTCTAAATAACTAAAAAAAAATTTCACTTCAAACTCACCAGAATTATATAATAACATTAATATCTTATGAAATACGGCAGATTTGAGCTCAGAAATTATCTAATTTATTTCTTTTATTGAATACAAAATTATCCGTTTGAAAATATCGCCTCGCAGAATAACATGTAGTAAGCAGCTGCAAACTTTCTAACCGGAACTAGAGCAGGCATACAGCTCGAGATTGTTATTGTTTACATTTCTACTGAAAACACCATCCATTATACAATAAAATAAATATATAAATTAACATTTTTATTTTGCTTTATATATAATTTGAGATTTATTAACAGCTTAATTGATTGGAGAGCTAGTTTAGCTAGGCGAGACACCTGCAAGATAAATTCTATTAATGATACTGTTGTCTAAGATTAATGCATAAAAACAAAAAGTTCCTTAGTCATGAGAAAATGGTACAGTAAGGATTATCTTCAATTTATAAAGTAAATGTTTAATTAAAGCTACTTAAGTGGAGTCTTGGATTTTTAAATTTGCACACTACGACAAAATATGTATGACAGTTAGGGGTGCCTTTCAACTGAAACATTCTGGTACTGGTACAATTAGAAAGAAAAAGGTGTTTGTGGGTTATACAAGTCTGGCCGATATGATTTATTAAAGGATTTAATGTTTTTAATTGCAAACTACACTATTAAATATCAAAGTGATAATATACGAATAAAAATCATATCACTTAAGCCAGGGGTGTCAAACTCAAAAGCTAACCTGGGCCAAATAAACAATGCTTAACTTTAGGTGGGCCGCAAAAAAAATCAATGTTCATCGAAACAAAAATTTTTATTTTGAAAAGTACATTGTAATAAACATATATAAAGTTAAATTATTGTTTGATACTTGATATCTCTTCTCTGCTACTATCTTTTCTATTTCGGGAGAAATTTTATTGGCCTAGACTACTTTCAAAATGACCCAACATGAGCGTTATTCATACGATTTCGGACAGGAGATTTATTTATATTCATAACAGAAAATAATTGCTCTCACTGATAAGTACTTCCAAACATGGAAATAATTTCATATACGAGTTTTCGCTTTATTTTCAAACCTTGCCAGTAAATATTCGTAAAACTCAGGCACACCCACTTCTATGAATTTTGCCTTCAAATTTGAGTCGCATTGAATCTCAATCACTTCCATTTGCATGTAACTGAGTACTGAGTCTATATTTATTGAGAAAATCGAAGAAAGCAAACAAAATTTGTCTTCCAAAAAATTATAATCTTTAAACCTTGTTTCAAATTCTGTTCTAAGATTTGAATTTTTTTTTCTGCGTATTTTTTATACGATGCAGTATCATTTAAACTAGATTTGTTCCTGTTGCCCGTAGGGAAGTGCGTTAAATCTTCATTTTTCAGTTGCCTTTCCCAAAGAAATAGTTTACATTTGAATACATTAATTATGTCATATATGTTCGTAATGCCTTGTAACAATAAATTTAAATCGGATAAGTGTTTGGTTACATCAACCATAAAGGATAAATCTTGCAACCATATTTGATTGAGAACAAGCTTGTATCTTGATTTTTAATTTGTAAAAACTTACATATTTCTACTTTCGCATCCCAGAATTGTTTGAGAACCTTGGAGCAAGATAACCAACGTACCTCGCCATAGTAGGATAAACCTGAATATGTACTATCTAACTGATAGGTTAGTGTGAAACGGACTCCATTTCAGCCAATTTAGAATTTTACATTTTCGCGCGTACAATTTAAAATGATCCGTATAGTTTATAAATAAAGTATACTATAATTTTATATGCTGGTTTCGTTTCTAATTCACATTTCCACTTTATTTTCACTTTGTTTCGGATATATTGACTGGACCACAAAAATGTTCATCCCGGGCCGCGAGTTTGACACCCCTGACTTAAGCACATATCAATCTATGAATAGTCACACAATTTCTACTCCATACTTTTCTCTTAAGTATGGAAAAGAAATTTCCATACTTTCTAAGAAAACCTCAACACACTCGTTGATTGAAGTTTTGCTAAGCACTGAAATTTTTTTTATTCAGAAACATTTTATATTCTAGAGGTTGATATAGGAAACAATATAAAAAAAAGAATTTTTTGGTGTGTGTGTGTGTTCAAACATATATTCGAGTTTGGTTCAACTTAAAATAATTCAAACAACGTTGCACACATGCCAACTTCTATCAGAGAGAATATTTGTTACTTAAAATGGGGATTAATTTCATGCTTTACCATTCTATTATTGATTTAATAAATTTGTCCACCATTATATAAAAATAATTTAAACAAATATATAAGACCGCATAATCATGCAGTGAAGTTTTTGAGTCTATGCAAAATTAAACAAATTAAGCTTACCTTTACTGCTGTTTCATTACCATTTTAAATAATGTGTTCAACTAGGACTTCTGGGTGACTATTATAATGACGCAATAAAATAAATGCAAGGAGTAATTGTAACATGTGATAAAATTATTAATTTTGAACATCGTTGGCTACCTATTATTATTATCAATTCTAAGATTAGTCATTTTCCAAATTTAAACAATATTCTCTCTCAATTCCTATACAGAAAATAACATATTTTATTATATTCTAATAGTAACACTTTGCAAACACTAAAATAAGCTACAAGATATTTCCTTAAATAAAACAAATAACATATAATATCAGCAAAACAAATTTGGACTAGGTTTTTAAATAATTAAGTTTATCTACAAGCAAATAAAAAGATTTTAAAAAAAACATAACAAATTTGTCAACAAATTAATTTATAAAAAAAAAATAAAAAAAAGAGGTCAGAGCTATTTTCTCATTGAAATGGAAAGAGATTTTTGTTTTTTCAGGTAAAATTTGCACAAAATAAAACATTCAATTATATTCTATAAATTATAATTTTGCTTATAAATTAATTAGTAAATAAGGATACTATAAATAAATATTTGATTTCTATACTTTTCAAAATCTTAATGTAGTCTTAAATAGCATTTATGTAACATTATGCATTCATTAACATTAAATGCAAACATGTTAGTATGAGATTCATGCATACAAATTTTAGAAATTTAATGATGTTTACCTGTGCTTTCTATAGTATCACATATTCGAATAAACAGGGGTACAGCATAGGAAGGTAAACATTTAGTAAGTTCAGCATAAAGAGCATCAAAATCTACAGCGTGATTGGGATCTGATATTGCGGCCATTCCAGCTCTACCTTCATTATCTTAAATGGTGAAAGGAAAAAATTACATTCATCGCTACTTCATGTATCTCAAATAAAAAAATAAGTCAAGTAAAACTTTTATAGTTAAAAGTCAGCAGCACTATATATTTATAGTTATATAACAAAACATTTCCCATTTTCTTTCAATTCTTTTGTAACAGACACCCATGCAAAGCTTTAGATAGCATATTTTAGTGCACTGCTTTGCAGTACTTTTTGTTCTTCTCACTGGGCCCAGCAGAAGTTCAAGTCCGAAATCACAACCAATTTATTATGTTAAATACATTTTGCACTTCAAAAGCATTATTTTAAATTAATCTTTACATATAGTAACAAAATAAAGTTGACATTATCAATTAATCAATTACAAGGTGTGTAGCCAAATCTTTCACAATAAAAAAGCACCTTTTAAGCACTATATACATTAACAAAATGCAAAATAATTTTCAAAGACTTTACATGATCATGATAAAATCCCTAGTTTCTGACGAAGAACACCTTTCTCGATTATATTAGCCATTATGAAATGATCAAGAGATTTTCGGTTCGATATCAGAGGACGGAAAATGAAATCTGAAATTGAGAATATCTTGCAAATTGCAGCAGAGTTGCACATGTGAAGGCAATAATCTCACCGAACCTCAGTAGACACACATGTGAATGTGCAAATATTTTATCAAACATGTAAAATGATTGTTGCTTTCATACGCTCGAAATAGCCTGCGGTTGAATTAATTGTGAAAACTCTGAATAGAACAATGTGAAAAGCACGCTTTTGCATAATACGTATCAAAAATCGACATGGTTAAGAAGAAAAAAATCTAATTTTCGAAAAGTGAAAATTAAGCACTTTTTAAAAACACTCAATGAAAAAAGCAACTTCAAGGGCTTTTAAGAAACGAAAGTCGAAAATAAGCACCTTTAAGCACTTTTTAAAAACGCTAAGCACCATGTATTAGCTTAATAATTCGTATTAATTTATAGCATTGTTAAGACCACATTATTCTAGCATTTTTTAATTATGAGTAAATATTTGTGGCATAGTTGTGCTCTAGCAAAATACACATTATAACATCTGTTTTTATGTGAAACCCAGGGATGAGATTAGCCAAAAGGCAAAAAAGCTGAATTTCCACAATAGTAAATTTTACGCAAGCGCAACCCTTTAATAATAAATTTCAGACCGTTTAAGGTGATAAGTAATGTGTTGATGTACAATTGGTACTAATCTATTATTATATAAATGATTACATTGATACTTAACATTTAGTGAAAATAAAAATTACCAATTGAAAAAAAAAAGCTGGAAATTATATTTTTCCTCAGTTCACATAAGAGACAATTATTACTTGAAAAACTACCTGGTTCAGCAAATTAAAACTACTGAGAATATACATTAATATTTCATTTCTTTTAATAAATACTGTTATGTGATTTATAGCAAATATATCAGTAATATTACTTTTTAAATTATATTGGAAAAAAAAACTTTAACAATGGACCGAATCATTATGTTCATATTATAGTCTAATCTAACTAGAGCCCTCTGAAACATATCAATAACAGTGAAGTAGAAATATATAGTAACTCCTTAACATACAAAAATTGCTATTTTAGTTTGAAAAATTACATGACAATCAGCAACTGTTTAGATAATTGTTTTTTATTTGATAAGAATTTTGCATTTTATAGCATAAATAACAGCAATTATAAATAAAATTTTGATGATGAGTTAATTAACTCTTTTTCCCCCCAAATTTTTTTTTAATTAAATCCCTTTTTAAGTGATTGCTTTTGTTTGCTATATCTTTTATGTTTGCTATATTTAGTCGTTAGTCCATCTTCAAACATCTTGTGACAAATCCTATTTTTTCTTCTTTGCAAGCACAGAATGTAAGTTTTGAATATATTCCCTTCCAGTTTCTCTGATGTTGTAACACTTACATATACTAATAATCGTCGTTAGAAAAACAGTCACCTTTATAGTAACTAATTTAAAAAAAATTTACTTCTTACAAGAATCGCGATAGTTGATCTTAAAATTGCGTGAATATGAATAACAATTATGGATTTTGAAATCACATGAATATGAAACTAGATATACGATTTTGAAAATGAGAAAATACAAACTGGGATATAGAATTTTTAAAACGCGTAAATACAAATCACGATTCATAATTTTTAGATCGCGTAAATACGAATCATGATGCGTAATTTTTAGATTGCATAAATAAGAATTATGATGCATAATTTTTAGAATGCGTGAATGCGAATCCCAATGCCTTATTTTAAAATCACGTATAAATACGAAAATCAATGTTTGATATTATAAACCGCATGAGCAAATCAACACATTGAATTTTAAACTTGCGTGAATACGAATCGCTACATAGGTTTTTAAAAAGGCGTAAATACGAATCACAATATCAGATTTTTAAATCTCGTAAATAAGAATCGCAACATACAATACTCAAATCACGTGAATCAGAATCGCAACACGCAAATATGATAAACTATGTTTGATATTAAAATCGTGTGAATGAGATCGAGATATTAGCAGATTCCAGGCTTGGGACCTCTAAAAGGCTTGTCAGAAGCAGCGTCGTTTGAACTACAAAAATCGGATCTATCTGGAGGGCGGGTAAAAAATTCCGAAAATCTTATTTGCTGTGAGTAAACGGAGAGAAAACAGCTAAAATAAGTAAAAATGAGAAAGGTTTGTAGCTATGCAGTTTGAATTTTCTGTTTCTCTTTGAAAATCGGTAAATTTTCTGAAAAAGCGGAATACTTATTAAAAAAAAATGAAATTTTTAGAAAAATCTGAATTTTTGACAAAAAAGCAAGTGACAAAAAAGCATTCAAGTGATAAAAGTGAAAAAAGCGGAAATCCGCTAAAAAGCGGAAAAATCTCATCCCTGGTAATTAATGTTCAAATTAAGCATGAACATGTTTAATTTGAACATGTAGACACTCACTTGGTACTTCAACACCATACACAACAGAGTCTGCATGTTTCAGGAAGTTACTGATTAAAGCTTCTATCTCCATGGTGGATACGTTTTCTCCACGCCATCGGAATGTGTCACCTGTCCTATCCACAAAATATAAGTAACCATTCTCATCCATCACAAGCATATCACCTATGGAGAAAAATTAAAGCATTATATGTAACACACTCATAAATTCTATGGTATTAATACAAAAATTAGCTAGAAGATAAATAAAATATCTAAATATGAAAATCTAAAAATACATAATTAATCAAAGTAAAAAGCCCATCGAAGTAAAACTATTTTAAAAACAATGCATATTTGATAAAAAGATGCAAAATTTTATGGTGTCAAATTTAGACGAGGAAAAATAAATATAAAATTCTGATTTAAACAACATTAAAAAAAAACCTAAACTATTGTTTAGGTTTTTTAGCTCTAACGTAAACAAAATTTTTGAGCAATTTGAAAGACGCAAATTTCAAATTAATTGTGCAATATAAAATCAAACAAAATTAGATATAGAAAGATTGACTGACTGGGATAACACTTTTTCTGTCTACTACAATATTTGTGCCTTAATATTTTTTCAGTAATCTTTTTAATAAGATAACTAAAAAAATAAAATGTTTTCATAGAAATTAAAGTTAATGAAATGTTTGTGTTCATTCATTTTTTTCAACAGTTATAAAATAACATGACTTTACTCCTCTATAAAAATAAACTCTATTCTTCAAATTTCGAAACTGAATACAGGAACTTAAAGTGTAGTCAAACCAGACCAATAAAGATAGGTCTAACAGGGTGCGTAGCCAAATTATTCAACAAAAAATAAGCACCTTTTAAGCACTCAAAAAATCTTTTCAATCACTTTAAAAAAATATCATAATTAGGCAGGGTTGGAAAGTTTTTGACGATTGACGGTTTTATCTTGTATTAACCGTCATGTCAAAAAAAAAAACTTTTGGCATTGTTTTTGAGAATTGTCAAAAATCATGAAATTTTGAATCACGTAAAACAATATACCGAAATAAATTGGGGTTGAATTAATTGCGAAAATGTTGAATAGAACAATGTGAACTGTGTCTTTTTACATAATTAGAGGTGAAAATCAACATAGTAAAGGAAAGATCTCATTTTGAAAAAGAGAAAAGTAAGCACTTTTTAAAAGCACCCAATGAAAATAAGCACCTATAAGCACGTTTTAAAAACGCTACGCACCCTGTATAATGTGAATGTATTGATAGGCTTAATTTAACTAAAGGATACTAAGAAATAAGATCATATTTCTCACCAGACAAAAAGGCCGTATCTCCCTTTTGAAAACAATCTCTAATTATTTTCTTCTTAGTAGCAGATTGGTTAACATAACCATCGAACTGTCTAATTGGATCGTTTGTAATTATCTTACCAACAAACTCTCCAGGTTCACCTGCAAATAAACATTTATTTAATAGTAGAATCATTATTGTTTACACTAAATAGTGAAAGAGAAAGAAAAATAGAACAAAAAAGACGTACAGGTTCGAGTGGTACATTTTATTTACAAATATTTATCTATTTACCTGGTTCACACCTAATGCACAAGCCATTTTTATCCCTAACAGGCTCTCCGGTGGCAGTATCTATTTTAATGAGACTCACGGGATAGATTGTGGGAATGATTCGGGACATAAAACCTACAGCACCAACTTTGTTGTCTATGTTGACTATAAGGAAATAAAGCCAAATTAATATTTTATTAAAGGAAAAATAAAGAGAATTGTCAACAAAAAAATCCACATCTTAACTATACACTTCACAAAAAGAGTTAATATTGGATTTGTAGTGTAACTATATAATATCAAGTTATTCATAATATATTTATTGTTTAACCCCTTTCTTCTCGCTCCCGTGAAAATGACGGGGTGAGGTTTCGCCCTCTATTTCTCGCTATTATTATTATAATATATTAAATTTGAGATGAAAATTTACAATTTCCTTAAAAATAAGAATATGAAAAAAAATTTAAAAAAGGAAAGCATTCAACATTACTCACTGACATTAGCATTGCCCTCTGTAGAGCCATACAATTCTCCAACATTTGGTATGTTAAACCTAGACACAAAGTTTTCCCAAATTTGAGGACGGAGGCCATTGCCATATATCAGCCTTAATTTGTGTTGCCTTTCTTGGGGTTTTTCGGGTTGTGCCAATAAGTAACGACACAGCTCTCCAATATATTGAGCAACCTGCAATTATTTTTATTGTTATAATAAAAATCCTAGTAGAAAAAAAAAGTCTGAGTAGTAATGAACCATAATAGCTAAATAAAGTTTGAATTGATGAAGTTATAACAAATGAAATAATAATTAAGGGAAAATATATTTTAAGTTAAACATTTAAAAATATTTTCTTACAGTTCACTAAAGAAAGAAATTTTACTATTACATTTCTTAATAAAATTAAAATATTTATTACTTAGTTTAAGCATAACACTTAACGTAATAAAGTATAGTTACCGTTGCTTCATACTTGATACAGTCATCCCAAAATTTGGAAGCAGAAAACTTGGTTCTAATAGCTAAAGAATTTCCAAACAATATTGTTTGAGAAAGTGATAAAATACCACCTGCAGTGTGATACAATGGAAGAGGAGTATAAAATATGTCATCTTTCTGTATACAATTCATAAAATTGATACCAGCACCTAGCCACATAAATCTGAAATAAAGATATTATACAAATAAATATTATTTTCAAAATCTAAAAAAATAAAAAAAATTTATTGATAAAAATACTTAAAATTAACAGGTCAACAATAAATCAACGTAAATCTTTCAACAACAAAAAAAGTACCTTTTAAGTACTTTTTAAGCACTCAAAAAATATTTTTAAGCACTATATATTTGAACAAAATGCAAAATAATTTTCAAAGACATTTTATATGATCATGATAGAATAACTAGTTTCTGACAACGAACTCTTTTATTGATCATATTAGCCATTATAAAATGATCAAGAGATTTTTCGATTCGATATCAGAGTGTGAAAAATGAAGCCTGAAAAAGAGAATATCTTGCAAAATGCAGCAGTTGCACACGAGAGTGCAATAATCTCACCGAACCCAGCTCAGTATACGCACATGCGGATTCGCAAGTATTTCATCAAACATGTAAAATGATTGATGCTTTCATACGTTATGCACCGACGGTACACCGAATTAAATTGTGGTTGAATGAATTGTGAAAACGTTGAACAATGTGAAAAGCACGCTTTTGCGTAATGGGTGGCGAAAATCGACATGGTAAAGGAAAAAAATCTCATTTTGGAAAAGGGAAAATTAAGCACGTTTTAAAAACACCCAATGAAAAAAGCACCTTTAAGGGCTTCTAAAAATAAAAATTGAAAATAAGCACCTTTAAGTACTTTTTAAAAACGCTATGTACCAAGAAAAACAGAATTTGCTTGGGACTTTAACAGAGAGTTTTTTGTCAGAAAGATAACTTTTTAAATACTATGGAGGCATCAGCAAAACAAGTTATAATAGTAATCCCCAACCAGTGGTACATACTAGAGAAGAGTTCGGGCTCGCTTTTGGAGGTCAAAGCCCAAAGAATATAGCCCACCCAAGCCCAAATACATAGAATTACTTAGAGCCCGAGTCCGTCCAAGATACATGTCGGATTAAGGCCACATTTTTGCAGTCTCACTATTAGATCTTTGTTGCCTAAACAAGAAAATAAGTCATTAAAACCTTTTTATTGCAATTAATTAATTAACTTCATATTTCTTATTCTAAATAACTGTACCAAACATTTATTTTAAAGTAGTAAAAAAGTTTATGAAAATATCTTAATTCCGAGACTGCCAGAGTCTGAAAAGTTTTTTCAGTAAACAAGTCTGAACCCGCATTGGGTCCAGGCTGCTCTCGTCTCATCTCAAGTACATACACATCTGTTGCCTCCTTAAAACCGATGGTATGTGAAAAGCTAACAGATTCATGATTTTTTTTTTCAATTAGGAATTTAAAAATATATGTATCTGAGAAGAAAGAAAAAATTTAAGATGTCGCTATAAGATATATCTACAAATTGGCTAGTGTTAGTCTATACAAACCAGAGTTGGCCAAAAATGTAATCGATTACATTTTTTGATTACAGTAATCAATTACTTGTAATCATGATTACAATTTTCAAATATTTTGATTACAGCTGTAATCATGATTACAATATTGATTACAGTAATCAATTACTTGTAATCGTGATTACAAAGTTTGATTACAGCTGTAATCATGATTACATAGTCGATTACAGTAATCAATTACTTGTAATCATGATTACAATTTTCAAAAAATTTTGATTACAGCTGTAATCATGATTACAATTTTGATTACAGTAATCAATTACTTGTAATCATGATTACAAGTAATTGCGATTACAAGTAATCACAACAAAAACGATTACAAGTAATTATGATTACAAGTAATCAAAATATATGATTACATGTAATTTGATTACATGTAATTTGATTACATGTAATTTGATTACATGTAATTTTGATTACATGTAATCCAATTACACGATTACAAGACTATTGTATTCTTATAAATGATTATATTTTACAGTAGATAGTAGAATGTATTTTATAATGATACATTTTGCACGTATTAACATGTACTGCATTTTGTACGTATTTGTATACGTACAAATGAATGTAACTGAAATGTATGTACATATGATTTTATCTAGTGCATATGTTCAGACATTTTAGTATCACACACATGTACATACACTTATATTGTAGGTATAAAATATATGTACGTATGTATATAGATAATAATTACGTATGTATGTGCAAACAATGTAGGCATGTACATTTATACACAATGAATATATGCATTTTATGCAAATATTTGTGTATGTAAAATGTATATCTATGTTCATGTACGCATGTATATACAAGTACTTGTGTTTGTACGAACATACATACATTGTCTGTACAATGTATGTCCCATGCATGTATGTGCAATTTATTTATGAACAGTACAATATATGTATGCATGTACAATATAGGTATATCTGTAGGATGTACAATATATGTATGTATACATGTACATGATATGCATGTCCAGTGTATTTATGTACATGTACATAATATGTTCATGCTCAATGTAAGTATCCAAATATGCATAATACATTTGTGAACTATTGTACGTACATTGGGCGTATTTATATTTCACATATATTCATACATGCATTCGACATGCATAACGTACGTACATACACACATTTGAGATGCATATATTGTACAGATGTATATACATATAGCGTACAGATGTATATACATATAGCGTACAGATGTATATTCATATAATGTACATATGATGAAATGAACATATAATGTTCATATAATGTACATATGTGTGTACATATACAGTACGTATGTGCATAAATATATTGGGCATAATTCTTTCGTACAAATTTTACATGTGTACATGCATGCTATCCCTATCTATGCATATGGTGCAATGTATATATGTACAATGAATGTATCCACACATGTACAATACACGTATGTTCCATGTATGCATATCCATATGTACTATATATGCACGTACAATACATGAATGTATGTACATACATTGTACATGCGTACATACATTACACGTATACATATGTACATTACATTTATGTCTAAATATGTGTACAATGCAATAAATAAAATGCATGTAAGTTAACTTTTAATGACTCAAGCAAGTTAAATGACAAAATCAAACGATATTTAAATTTAGTTTTCAGCTTTAATTGTTCTATATCATTTTGAAATTCTCTGAATAAAAAATTATTTTCAGGTATTTTCATGAAATGTTTGACAATACAGATTTATTTTTTTTATAACATAATGCATGATTCATAGAAATTTTTTAAATGGTAAGAAAAACGGTAAATTTTATGTGTGGAATTAATATTTAGAAATTCCAAATAAAATTATCGTTTGCTTTCTAAAAAATATGAGGTCGAGTTTCATATACCTTAGAATAATTTTAAAACAAATTTTAATAACTTTACTCATATAAATTTTTTTAATGTATGCACAATGTATGTGTATATTGTAATTACATATATTTAAATGTACGCACGTATTTGTACATTACTTGTAATTATGTACATGTATACGTTGTATGCACATGCATACATTGTGCATATAACTATTTTTTTGTACATCCATGCATTACATGCGCATAAGTATTAACAAAGTATGTAGTTATACAAGTACATACGTAAGTTGTACATAAGTACATACTTTGCGTGCACATATATCGATGTACATATAAATATGCATGTATACATGTACGCATTTTATTTACGCAACTATGTGCATATATTGTACCTTTAAATAACATTTTTACATATTGTACGCAAATACGTACAATTTTATATACAAACGTACATTGTATATACGTGCTATTATCGTAAATTTATACAATATATGCACTTAAGTACATAAAAGCATGCAAACGCATAAACATTATTTTCATATACGTTCATACATACATTGTCTATGTATACAAAGATACAAAACATTGCCTTTTTGTACAAACTAACATACATGCGTACATGTATCATAAATGCATAATTATATGTACTAAGCATATGCGCATTGCATTAAGTATATTACAATATAATTATGAATATTGTACGTACAAACAACGTTTGTGCATACATTGTATGTATAGGAATCGCAAATTGTACGTTCATGCGTGCGTACATTCTATGTACATAAAAATATGTAAACACATGAATACTTACATAAAAAATTTGACTATAGTATACAATCGTAATAACTTGTAATCGTATAGTTTGATTACAAGTAATCACAATTACATGTAATCAAATTACATGTAATCATGATTACATGTAATCATATATTTTGATTACTTGTAATCATAATTACTTGTAATCGTTTTTGTTGTGATTACTTGTAATCGCAATTACTTGTAATCATGATTACAAGTAATTGATTACTGTAATCAAAATTGTAATCATGATTACAGCTGTAATCAAAATTTTTTGAAAGTTGTAATCACGATTACAAGTAATTGATTACTTGTAATCATGATTACAAGTAATTGATTACATAGCTGTAATTATCTGTAATCAATTACAGTTGTAATCGATTACTGTAATCAACGGCCAACTCTGATACAAACTATTCTTCCCTGAAAAGTGATAAAAAAAATAACAAAGATGTAATAAAACATAGCATTAAACTTAACATGATCACAGCTCTATATTTATAAAAGGGGGAAAATAGGATGTTTTCAAAAAAGCTAGGTCTCAATTTTGTCAAGTTTATATGCAAACACAATATATTAATTTTGAAATAAAAATGCTAAAAAAGTAATCATGAAGAAAGTTTAACTAAAAAATTGACAACAATTAAGTCCAAAAGCAAACGATTTTGTTCAAAAATTCGGGACAAAAAAAAAATGTTTTCCTTGAAAAACATATGAAGTGAAACAAAGATAAAAAAATAAATAGAATATTATATATTTTATCCTTGATAACATCCTTTACCCATATATAACATAAAAAATATTCTAAAATTGATAAAGCAAGAACAATTTAGTCTTTAAAGACATAAAATAAAAATATTCTTGCCAATATTGAGGCTACTAGCTTATTTTTCTGAGGAAATTAACTGTGTTATTAAAGCGCACAACAGCCATTATAGGCTGAGGGATCGCGGAGAAGAGCATCAGTGTTTTGTGACCAACGGTACGATTGTGGCCAGTATAGCACACAAACCACTTTTATTTCCCAAACAAGCTAGTACGCAAAGATCTGAAGCTAAGTGGGTTTCATGCCACCACACAGGATTTCAAAGAAAAAGATTTACTCTAAAAGTTTTTAATACAAAAGATCAAAAATCAAAAGCAGAGTTTGAAAGAAGTTCCATTTAAGCTATTTCAGTTAATTGAAGGGAAATTGGTCCAGCTTATATGATGGAGGTAAGTTCATTGCATTTTTATGAAGATTTCAGCCTAAGTAGAAAGTGATTATTGGTACTTTTGCGCTTCTCACGACAGAGATTAATTCCAACAAATTGAACAAAATTATTCAAAAAAAAAAAAATAAATAAATAAATAAAACAGTTGTTTTATTTCTTTAGAAATATTATTATGAGATACACTATGGCCATCATACATCAAAAAATAGAAAGAAGCCTCCATAACAGGATGAAAAGATACATATTTTTAAAATGAAGATTTTTGCAAATTTTTATTAACAGTTGGATCGAGGGATGAAACCCTCTAGTATCACCGCCAAGAATTCTAAATTAAAAGTAATTGAATTGTTCCCAACAGACAGTCAGGAGCATGGGAAGAAATCCACAGTTGGTGCTTTATCGAAAGATAAAATAGCCAAAAGCAAAACCAACTGCACGTAATTAATATTAAGTTTGAAATAATTTAACTATACCTTAATCGCTATAAAGACCGTGAAAATTAATATAACCCTGTAACAGAAATATTTTTGTAGTAAGAGAAATAAAGTACAGTAGGGAACCGATTATCCGGAACGATCTGGACCATCGCTATTCCGGATAACTGATTTTTCCGGTTTTCTGAATCGCTACAAAAAGCCGTTTTTTTATTGTTAAACCCAATTTAAAAAAAATTTGGAAATAATCTTAAAAAGAAGAAAAAACGATGAAGTAATACACTAATAATTATTTCCAAAATGATGATAAGGTAAACATCTTTAAAAAAAAGAAAGAAAAATCCTAAAATCTTATGAGGAAAAAAAAATTTTTTTTTTTTTTAATGGTGAGAAAATTTATCGAATTTCGTTCCGGTTTTTGGTTTTCCAGTTTTCTGATTTCCGGATAATGGGTTCTGTACTGTAACTTCAGGAATAGAGAGTTAAAAATAGATTTTGATGTTCGATTTAGTCGCGATAGTGAATTAATGAGTTTTACATTTGTATTGAAATAGAAAGTTAGCCATTACTTTGATTGTCAAGATGAGAATAAAATATTTATATTTGCTTTTAATAAAATGTAATAAAAATTAAATAATTGACTTAATTTAATAAAGATTAGATTAGAATTAGATTAAGAATAGAATAGATTAGATTAAGATTTTTTTAAAAAAAATCAAATTTCTGAAATTAAAGGAGTTTTAAAAGCTAGGAATTATGTAATGCCTATTCTGTGTGTACAATTAGAATATTTTCTTTCCTTTATGTCACAATTTCTAAAAATTATTTCACTATTATTATTATTATTATTATAATTAGTTAAAATAAGTAGGTTACAAACCTGCTGTGTCTAATAATTGCAGCCTTTGGCATACCAGTGGTTCCAGAGGTATACACATAGAACAAACGATCTGTAATTGAAAAATTATTATTATAAAAATAGCTCACAAATTTTTAAGCACAAAATAATTCATTTTTAAGTACAAAATATCTATATCCATAGTTCCATCTAAAATATACAATATCCATAGCATAAAATATCCATAATATCCAAAATATTCATCATTCCATCACATGGTTTATGAATGAAGGATAAAAGTTTTATTATAAAAATAATTTTGAAAGAAAAATTAGTTCGGAAAACGAAAATTATTAAATTAATTGTATTTGTTACATTTGATCAAATCTTATTTTCCTAGAGAGTAAATTGATATTTTGTAGCAATTAATATAAGAATATACGAAATATTAATTAATTAAAAATCCATTAAATGTTTTTACTTGGCTGACAAAATTATGCAATTTGCTTTAAAATATTGAAAAATATTCAAAAAGAAATTGGAATTTAGAATATTGGCTTTATGCCAAATGCAATTACTTTTTCAATTTTATGAGAAGATTTAGTGTGGCAATCCAAAATCATAATATGCATGAATTTTTCTAACTTGCAATTCATAAAATAATGAGGAGTATGTTTAAAATTAATACATAACTACAAACAAACTTTTTTTAAAAAAAAAAAAGGCAAAATTATGTATTTTTTCCTTAACGCATTTAGATATCGAAGGTATATAAAAGCCTTCAAAGGAACATAGAAGGCTCATAGAACAAAATTGCTCTATTTAAAAAGGCCAGATTTCTTTTACACAATATACCAAATAATAAATTATATAATCACAAATATATATGCATTTTATCTATACCCAACCTCAATTATGATTAACTCATAACATAACAATTATGTGTAACATATTCATAACATTTGTAATTGTAGGGTTAAAGTTCATTAATATTAAAGTTAGAAACAACAATTGACCAATGAAAGAATTATCCAAAGTATATAAAATTTATAAACAAATCATTTTTGACCATTATAATAAACTTTCATTTTATAAACTCAATATAATTTGAAATCCTCTAGTATCATTTGGGGAAAAAAATCGAAGATAAGATTACATTTTAGACGATACAATTGTATTGCAGAATCATAATATATTTATACTTTATTTCAAATATAATGAAATTTAAGTAGTATAAACTCAGACCTAACTTTAATATACATTTATGCCTGTTTAATTTATACACAATTAGCAGAAGACTAAAATTATTTCCTTTATTCATTACTACATAAAAAATTATTTGTATGTGAAACTAAAATTTGTCAAATTGATTATGATAAAGCAAATTTTTTTTTACCATCCATGTTGCCCTTGTTTTGCTGAATTGGTTCCATTTTAGAACTTTCATTTATTAGAGGTTCTAAAGGTTTAGCAGGAAAGGATTGTACCTCCCCCATACAAAAGTACTGGATACCGTTTGTTTCAGCACCGATAAGTGGAGCAGCCTCTTTTATAGCTAAAGAAATAAAATAAATATTAACAACAACTCTTTACATTTTTATTCTTTCAACAGAAGTTTTTTTCTTGAAAAACTTTATAAGCCTAATGAAGCGATAGGTAAATCAAAGAGATTAGTTTACAAAGAGAGAGTTGAACATTAGTAGTTTTTGTTCTTTTTCAATAAATAAAACTAGGTGGGAGATTCTGAATACCACATTCGAGTCATTACAGTTTGTAAACATGCTCAAATTGCGCAGATCCTATTGTAAATCTTTGTAGTTTTTTTTATCACTTTTTCGGCGGTTATTTCAAGGGACTTCCTTTTAGTTTTAAAATTCTCTTAATATTTCTTCTTAATATTTTTAATACATTATTCTGATACGAAAATTTCAAAATGGTTATTTTTTGACGGGCTTTAATTTTGCCCATTTCATCGTTTAATTTAAGTGACTTTTCGATCATGTTTCATGGTAACTTAGGTTCGTGTTTTCAGCTGTTCTGGTTCGTGCGTTAGAATTGTCGGATTTCCGCGTTTCATAAAATCTCGATATTTTTAATACGATATTATTAAGACTCGCAAGTTTCGAATCGCACATTTTAATAATCACTTTTGACGAGCTTCATTTAAGTCACTTTTATCGGAAACCCAATCCTTTTTTTCTAGTGTTTTTTCGGTGATTATTTTCGTGCTTTTACACATGGTTTCGAAAACCCGATATTTAATACTTATTATTACATCTCTCGAATCGTGCTTTCAAATGTGTGCTTTATTTCTGCCGATTTCATTACAAGTCAAAGGGAATTTTTTTAATCGTTCTTTTGGCAGTTTAACGTTTTTCCACGTTGTTTTCGAAATCCAGATATCTTTAACACAATATTATGACTTGTTAGTTTCGAATCGCAAATTTTAACCGTCACTTTTGACTTGTCTATTCTAGTTATTTTTCGATAATTTTTTTGGCAGTTATTGTCACATTTTTCCATGTGATTTTGAAAATTCATCTATTTTTAATACGATATTATTACGAAAATTTCGAAAAGCGCGTTTTAATAATCACTTTTGACTAGCCTTATTTGTGTCGATTTTATCGTCAATCCGAGCTATTTTTCTATAATTTTTTTCCCTCCAGTTTTTGCTACTTAATTCCACATGTTTTTCCTTTTTTTTTTCCTCTTGAAAATCTTGATATTTTTAATACAATATTATTATATTACAATACGATATTATAATGTAAATCATTCATAAAATCTCTTACTTATAAAATATAAATGTCCTAGAGTTAAAAATATATTCCCTTTTAAGCGTTTAATCTTATTTCAGCAGTAATGCGTTTGTTTTATTTAAAATAATTTTAGACTCCATAAAATTTCAATTAATTAAAATATTCAAATTCAAGGTGCGTAGCCAAATTTTTCAACAAGAAATAAGCACCTTTTCAAGCACTCAAATATATTTTTAAGCACTTTTAAAAATATATAATTAGGCATTGTTGGCAATTTTTTTACAATTGACGGTTTAATCCGGTTTTAACCGCCATGTCAAAAAAAAAAATTTTGTATGACAAGTGTCAAAAAACATGACATTTTGAATCATTTAAAACGAATGGCGTTTTCATACGCTATTGACCGACGGTAAGCCGAAATAGATAGGGGTTGAATTATTATGAAAACGTTGAATAGAACAATGTGAACAGTGTCTTTTTGCATAATACACGGCGAAAATCAACATGGTCAAGGTTGTACTTTTACTAAACACATTAAGCACTTTTTAAAAACACCCAATGAAAAAAGCACCATTATGGGCTTTAAAAAACGAAAATCGAAAATAAGCACTCTTAACAGGGATGAGAGTAGTCAGAAAGTAAAAAAGAGGAAATCCAAGAATATATATATATATATACATACAAATCGCACTTTTTTTGTCAAATTTTTGTTTAAACTTGTAATCCATGTGATTATAAATCCCGATATGAGGCTTTTAAATCACGTGAATATGAAACTCTACATCGAATTTAAAAAATGCGAAAATACAAATCATGATGCGTAATTTTTAGATCAAGATGCATAATTTTAAAATCGCGCGATATTACAACCGCAAAAACGAATCACGACATTGGATTTTAAGCTCGCGTAGCTACATAGGGTTTTAAAAGCTCGTAAATACAAATCGCGATATTGGTTTTTTAAATCTCGTAAATAAGAATCGCAATGTACAATATTTAAATGGCCTGAATAAGAATCGCAACGTTCAACTTTTAAATCAGGTAAATACGAAAATCGATGTTTGATAATAAAATCGCGATTTTAAAAATGCAAAAATACAAAACACGATATTAGATTTTTAAATCTCGTAAATACGAGTCATAATGTACGATATTTAAAAAGCGTAAATAAGAATTGCAATGCGCAACTTTTAAATCAGGTAAATACGAAAATCGATGATTGATATTAAAATCGCGTGAATAAAAATCGAGATATTTGCAGAGTCTGGACTTGGGATTTCTAAAAGGCTTGTTTGAATTGTTTTTTGTTTACACAATAAATAAAAATTTACAAGATTAATTGAATGAGCAAATAAATATTTTCACCACAAATCCACCTCTTTTTTTTTTCGCTTTTTTTGTTTGCTTTCTCTCCAGAATACAAGAAGCAGCGACGTCTAAATTACGAAAATACGAGCTATCCCGCCGACGGATAAAAAATACGGAAAATCTTATTTTCTGTGCGTGAAATCGGAGAAAATAGCTAATATAAGTAAACATGCGGAAGGATTAGCAGCTAGGACGTAGTTTGAATTTTCTGTTTTTCTTTGAAAATCGTAAATAAATATAATAATTTGACTTCAACGACTGAATTTTTTTTAAAAAAAAAACGGGATATTTATAAATAAATAAATAAAAAAAACGAAACTTTTAGAGAATCTGAGTTTTTGATAAAAAGGCTGAAATTCGAGAGACAAAAGCGAAAAAAATCTCATCCCTGTATAAAGGTCAACCAGTTTTATCCCAAGGAAATGATTTTTAGAGAAACTTCAGAGGGAGGAATGAGGACTTCAATAATTTCGCTCCGCGGAAAATTAAATTCCTCATAAAATATTTTAACTTGTGCAAAAAAAAATTTCAGCGGAAATTAGCGGGAAAAATGGAAAAATCTGAGAAAAAGCGGAAATCCGCGAATCCGCGGAAGAATCTCATCCCTGTCTTAAGCACTTTTTAAAAAAGCTACGCACCCTGAATTTGCATTCACGTTGCTCAATAAAATAATTATTAATTTAAAGCACTACAACAATATTTAACAAGTTTAAACTTGAAAAATTTCACATTAAAATATAAGTGGAAAGATTTGAAAATTTAGGTAATTAAGATTTGCTGGTATAGCTAAATACACTGATATTTCATTTAACTGAAAATAATTCATGTAAAGCATAGTATTACTCTTGATTCAAAGTGATATTGCTAATTTGTAACATTTTGCTGAGTGACGAACTGAAAGAAAGGCATCGAGCTTATGATTCAGGGTTTGCTTACTGTCTTTTGTTTGAAACTCTTTTGGTGATTTGCCACGGGGTAGAAATGTTGCAATGCACATCAGGAAAGGGATAAGCATACATTTTTATTCTGTAAACTTAAATTATTATACTTAAGCATTAGTTGTTGGCAACGATTTAATGAAAATTAAGGCCTGGTTCGGCGTCAGCTTGAAACGAACGTTTACCTCTGATTGGTGAATTTATGAGTTTGACAGCATACGTCATCGAACGCTCAGCTTCAACGACAACTGCCGTCACAACCCCGTCGACAACCGCCGGATTACAACGTGACGTTAACAACAGAAGCAATGGCGGACAACAGCCAACAACAGAGCATTGAAATCAGCCAAGATTTTGATTTTAACATTAAACATAGCTTCTTTTTTCTCTTCTTCTTCATTTAGCTTAGCTGTAATGTGTTTTTTCTTGGACAGAGTCATTATTTGTTCTTTAAAGCACTGGTCGACAATTACAAAATAAAATAAAAAAATTCAAAATAAATATTTGTTTACGTTATTAACGCAATCGAATTCCGAGATAATGTCTGTGTTGGACCGACTGCTCATGCCGAGCTAACAAAAAGGTATTTTTATGGCGTCAAAATTATATCAACTTAGCGCTGACGCCCAGTTAAGACGCTTCTCCTAAGAAACCAGGCCTTGAGCTAACAAAACAGTATTTTGTTGGCGTCAGGGTAACGTCAACTTAACGCTGACGCCCAGATAAGGCGCGTGTCCTAAGAAACCAGGCCATAGATTGAAGATAGAAAACCAAGTGTTCTGCGTTGTCGCTCTTTCACTTGTAGTCGAAGTTATTCTTATTTCTAGAAAACTCCTATTTGAGTCCTGCAGGCAGGACTTTTGATTGAATAGGATAGAAATGATTCCCCTGGCATGTTGTTTGTTCTGAAACTGAGTTCCAACAAGAGATCTGAAAGTGCGTCAAATTCGCGATTATTCACGCGATTTAAAAGTAACAATTATGATTCGTGTTTAATGACTTAAAAATGATGCATCGGAATTCTTACACACGATTTTAAAACTAAACATCAAGATTCGTATTCACCCGATTTTAAAATCAAACAGAGATTCTAATTCATGCGATTTTAAAACTAAACATCGAGATTTATATTCGCGTGATTAAAAATCACACATTGAGATTCATAATCATACAATTTAAATAAAATAAAAAAATCTCGCACCGATATTTTTATTAAAACGTCGATAACATTCTGTGGATAAATCCTTCCTACATACACTTTTATCTTGTTCAAATTTCAGGTATTTTTTAATAATTTAAAAAGTGTTTTTACACATGATTTTGGATAAAATATTTTCGTTTTTTTATCTAAATCCTGCATGTAGTATGAATCAAAATAAAGTTTTATAAAAATTAAACATTTAAAAAAAAAAAAAATCCGTGATTTTCAAACTGGTGACTGGTTGCAGTTGTGAGGAAAGAGTTAGTTAATCAATGTTTGCAGAAAGTTTTTCATTTTATCTATTATCTGGTATAGTTGAATTTATAAGTAAACTAACTGTTTCATGTATTTTGGAGCTTGATAAATTCTGTTCGGTGAGCTGTGTGAGTTCATGCCTAAACTAATGTTGAGGAAAACGACATCTGTGTGCTACTAATTTCTGCTGTATCACTGAAAGATGTACTAACTAATAAACACGCTTCCCTTGTGCACAGCAGAAATTAAAAAATAAATAAACACAAAGTAACTCACCATCAACTAGTTCGTTTCCAAAGATCACAGCCTTACAGTTGACAACAGTTATTGAAAATGCCAGAGGCTGTAATCTCAAATTTGAATTGATGAGAGCAGGAACAACACCAATTTTTGACAAACCCAGCCATAAGGCAATAAATTCGAGTTTGGACTCCATGAATATGGCGATTTCATCTCCTCTTCGAAAGCCTAGTGCAGCAAAACAATTGGCAACTTGGTTGCTATAATCTTCGACCTAGTAAATAAAATACTTTTCAGAAGAAATAGGATAAATGGCATGCTTTTTAATGTACTGAGTGCTTTAAAATATACTGACAAGAATTTCATTTTGTCCAAGATTATCAACCAATTAACTTTTTTAACAACTTGGAATAAATGATATCGCTCATGGGCTGCAATAGTGGCTCAACTCAAAAAATACGCGTTTTGGACTAAGAACAGGTGTAAATATGAAAATACACATTCTTTCAGCAGCAATACTAGCACAACTCATAATTCAACTAGAAGGTAATCTTCGTTTAAGCAAACTAAATCATTTCTTATGCATTTTCGATTGTTACAATCAGTGCAATGAAAACTTTAAACCCACTTGATTTTTTTGAGTTGCGCAGCTATTGCAGCCCATGAGCGATATATGCAATTATAAAAACTTTTCACTTTCAAAAGGAATTATAATTATTAATATTTTTAACTGATAAGAATCTAGGGAAAATAACAAGAAATTTTAAAAGAAGAATTGCATGTGGAGAAAAAAAGAATTTGATGAGCAACATTCAGGTCATTCTCTAAAACCTAGTTCAGGACAACAAATATAGAATGGATGAAAGTAGTAATAGCCGGGGTTGGTGCGGAAGTGACGTCATCACCCAAAGTCAACCAGAGCTTATTTCTGCCTGAAACGCAATACTTATAAGTTTTGTAATTTGGGGGAGAAATTGTACAATCCTAAAGAAGTAAAATAATATTAATAAGTGTTGCCACCCTCAAAAAACTAATAAATTAAATAATAAACGGAAACCGAAACTATATTAAAACAAAAACTGAAAATATTTTAGACTTAAGAAAAAAAAGAAATAAGCTCCCCATGACGTTGCAGGAAGTTTCGATTTCAGACGGGCAGAAATAAGCCACTTCTGGTTTATAGAGACAGAAATAAGCCGCTTCCGGTTTATAGACGGGCAGAAATAAGCAGCTTCCGTTTGAGGCAGAAATAAGCTCCGGTTGACTTTGGACTATTACTACTGACGAACAACCGTCATATGCATTATTAAAGATTTAATTTTTTTTTTTTGTACTTTGGGATTACCGATTGAATAAAACAGAAAAAAAAAGAAACCTATGAAAAGAAAAAGCATGTGTTATTTTGAATGTTTAGTTAAAACTAGCATGACACTTGAGACTGAACTAAAATTTCCAATTTTACTGAAAGGGGGGGGGAAGCATATTTAATAATAGAGAATCTTCAACTTGTTTAGAAAAATTTTCTATTCCTTGTCTATTAAAAACATAGTATGTCTTTCAAAATATCTAATAGATATCAAAATATTTTGGAAATATATCCATGATCATTAATTCCAAGCTGCATCCACTGATGAGACTATTTCTGAACCGATGAGACAGAATAGAACTGAATAGAACTCAACTTAATTTGAATTACCAATAAAAAATTAAATAAATAATTGAATAACAGATTCAAAACCAGTAATTAAATACATCAATGAATTTAGGTCATACAACCAACAGATTCTATTTATTGATTCAATAAAAATAAAATACACAGACAAGAGCTACTATTTCAAACTAAAGCCAAAACTATTATTCAAATTAACAAGCTGCTACTGACTTCAATCTTTTTTTTTAACAATTAAGTTAATATTAAAAATATGAATATATGCATGCGACTAATTATAATAAAACTTATAGTCTACAAATGCAAGTGTAGAAATCAGACATACACAAATTAAAACTGAGAGTTAAACATTTCTAAAATTTTTATAATAAAAGAAAAAAGACATGCTTTGCAATTTGTCTTTCTATAAATAAAGTGGTTGTCTAAATCTATAAACATTAAAATATGATAAAAATGATGGCAGGTGTGTGCAATCTCATTAAACTGATACATCTCACATAGATAAAGATTTCTTTCATTATCATCAGCATAAAATTAATGAAAGTTATAAAAGTATTATTTACCTCTATACTGTTTATTCATCATAAATTTAAAGGTATTTACCTATAATATTTATTTATCATTCTTTCTTTGTATTCTCTGCTATTACTTTTTAGATTTTAATTATTCCAAATTAAAGGTATAAAACTAGAAGTGGTGCTTCTTTATTTTTAAGTAATCCTATGATATTATCTTATAATGCAACATTTTACACAAACCATATTTAAACCAGTGTCTTAAATGCATGCGCAGTTCTATAATTATGAGACTTTAAATACGTTTTATTTACTTTATAATAAGCTATGGGTAAAACTGTGTCCGGTAAACATTTGCAATTAAAATAATAAAATATAAGAAATTAACGTTTTGAGCTACCAATAAATAATCTCAGATGAAAAATATTTAAAGAGTTTCATGAGTAACCAAAAGAAGAAAAAAATTTAAATCAAAACTTAAAAATTAAAATTCTTGATAAAGATGCAATAGTATTCGAGAAAATTTATTAAGTTAAAATTTTAATCCAATAGAGCAGCATTAGAGTCTGGAACTAAATCTGCGTTAAAAATACAATAAAAACATTTTGGAATCTTTCAAATAAATATTTTTTTTTAATTTGGCGTAAAGTCTGTTGATCGCCAAGAAACAAAAAGCAACTGTGTAGCAATCATGGGAGTTGGTGAGTGAAGCGAGTAACTTATTTTTACCTGCTGAAAAGTCCATCTTCGATCTTCGTGCATTAAGCAAATTTTATTTGGATGCTTTTTGGTTAGATGTTGAAATACTTTGCCAACAGTGCTATTGTGTTTACGGCATTTTCGGATGAACCTTTTCATTTTCAGTAACCTATATAAAGCACTAAAATGAAAAAAGGAAGAACGTAAGAAACTGAAGGATAATAAAATACGAGTAAATAAAAAATAAATTTTTTTAAGAAAAATACTTTTAAAATAAAGCAAGTTTAATATTTGTTATATTACATGTTATATAGCTTAATCAGAAACATAGTTCAATAATTCATAAAAACATTCAATCAAAACAAAATGATAAATGAAAAAGGCTTTTACTCAACAATCAACAATCCGCAAAAGAAAGGGGGGAGGGGATCACAGCTTTGTAAAATTTTCATTACTACGTACTGTTTTTCTTCCTCTTTAATCTATTCTCCTCAATTCAATTTAGAACAATGCATATAAATAATGAAGTGATCAACTTAAAGGAAAAGCCCGGGACTTGCCTTGGCCTGTTACAGGCTGCAGTGCCGAAGAAGAATAAAAACGACACCATCATCACAACTATCAATAAGTGGCTTACTCCCTACTTGATAAATTATAATTTTAAAATCACTATTTGTTGCAAACTTTTTCTATTTGAAAGTTAACTTTTCAAAAAACTTGATAATTTATATATTGATACTTATTTAAAATATTATATTTATCTATTTATATATGCATGCGTGTGTTAAAAACAATCTGATAACATTAATATTTTCTGATTTACAAATGTATTGTTTTCAATTTTTTTTTTATAAAACCAATAAAGCGCAACAGAAGTATTTATGGCATTTCTTATTTTTACTGAGTTAAAAATCCAAAAATATTATCTTGTATTTTCTTCCCCACTAAAAAAAAAGTAAAAAAATAAATAAAAATAAAATATTTTTTTGTTTTCCTATAATTTATTTCCGGTACACAGTCCAGTTCCCAGTTTGTAGCACGCATCTGAAAAGTATTATAAAACCTCTTCAGTGAAATCGAACAGGAAAAAAATAAGAGTTATGACATAATATAATAGTACAGTTATAGAATGGCCTTGACTTAAAAAAAGCAAATGACAGAATGGAAATTAAAGAACAGTTGTTTTAACCATCATCCTTCCTTTATTAATGAAGTTAAACAGAAGGAAATCATGCGTAACGTAAAAACAAAATAAGCAGAACTCTTTTTCAAAATATTGATACGCTTCAAAGAACTTTCTATGTCGCCATCCTAAGATGCAGTGAAAGTTATGTCATAGCAGCGAAGAAAAAGTTTCAATATTTTTTGGGGTCGTAAATTTTCAAGTTGATAAAAAATAAATTTTAAAACGTTTTTATTAACAAACTTCCGAGTTTACAACGATATATTCTTGCAAACGAAATTTCGGCAACTTTATGACTAGACTTAGTTTTAAAACTTTTGATAATGAATTGATACAAAAAGGGAAAAATGTGTGGAAGAATGTGTTACGTGACTTTAAGAACATTAACGTTCTGAAATATAGCAACATCTGCAAACTGTTCACAAATAATAGAATATTTTCAGAATAGAAATCGGCTTATTTTAAAATAAGATTCACAGCTAATCATACTATGTTTTTAACACAAAATTTAGGGTAGTTTTTAAAATGTCACTTAGCACCTGCTTACACTGAAATTTTCAACCATACAAACTTTAATAATCAACTAATTTCAACTGTTAAAAAAAAGAAAAGAAAAAAGAAGTAGCTTTTAAATGTAAGCTACAACTAGTAAAAAAAAAAAAAAAGAAAGTAAACGAAAAAATAAAAATACTATCAAAACGAGAGATTAGATAGTTATACTTTACAGTTTCGAAAATGAGCATAAAATATTCTTCATAATATCAAATTTGTTATCCAAGCACAAAAAAAAAGAAGAAAAAAAAGTGAAACTGAAAAGAAAATTAATGTCTTCTTAGTGTTGAAAAATACCTCTGATAACAGATCATAAAAGCAACTGAACAATATAATTAAAAAAATAAGCATGTACGGATTTTGTAACAGGCTGACTTAAACAACACAAGGGCCCAAAATAATATTAAATTTGTGTAAAATTAATTTAATAAAGGAGGCTCCGAAAATTTGAAAATTGTTGGTAGTCAGCAAAAATTTTTAATTGGCAGTAAAAATATTTGCACCTCCCTGTTACTTTTTTTTTTTTTTCAAATTCAAAATTTTTTTATTGAATATGCACATGCGTAAAAATCAAATATTTACATACTTATTACAAATTAATGAAATATTCTGAAACTTTTTTAAAAAGGAATATCAAAATAATTAAAATTTATGTGTTATTTCATTCAAAGTATCATATTGTTACAATTAAATCTGAGAATTTAAGAATACGCGCAATAATATAGCGTTTTTTTTTTTTTTTTACGGAAATTTATAAACTGGGACGCAACTTCGTCATAACTTCCTATTTCGACCCGAGAAATTTCGAAGGAAAATGCCGAAATCACGAGATTCGCACAAAAATTACGCGATTGCTGTGAATAAAAACAAGTGTTTCTTCTTATTATTTATTTCCCTGAAATAAAATTGAATGAAACAAGTTTTCCCATGTTTTTTAATGCAACAAATACGTCACAGAAATTTCGAATTGCGCATTTATCATTATTGCTTCACGTGCTTGATTTTGCACAGATTTCACCGTAAATCCATGTGGTTTTTCAGCAATTACGGTTACAGAATTCTACATGCCAGATATTATTAATAGGACATTATTGCGGCAAGGGGAGAATCGCGATTTGAATAATAAATTTTTGAAGCACATGTTTGATTTGAGCCGATATCGTAGTGAATTCGCATGGATTTTTTTCAAATCACTTTTTTGGCAGTTACACTCGTGTATTTCTACGCATTATCGAAAATCTAGATATATTTTAATACGAAACTATATGGCCTATGAATCACCAATAGCGCATATAAGTTATCACTTATCGATTTTTGAGTACGTTCGTTTTTACACCGATTTCATGGTTAGTAAGCAGGGGTTTGTCCAGACATTTTGTGAAAGGTCCGTTTTTGTTAAATTGTGAAAAATTACTCGTAATTTGTGAACATAAAATAAATGTTATGTCACATTCTTTCAACCAGGGTCCTGCTTTTGTGAATTTGTGCAAATAGGGTCCGTTATTGCAAAAAAAACTTTTTCAAGGAGTTTTTAAATTGTTAAGACATACAAGATTATGCTCAACACTGTAAAATTATAATTAAAAAAATTAAATTTTAAAAAATAAACAGCAATTGCAGCTACTAAATTAGCGATGCAACATACAAATATTTGGTATTTCGCAGAGTATTCATTTAGGACGAATAAAGGAAGAAGCGTCTGCCGAAGACAAAATTTTGTTCGTTTACATGTCTTTCTCCCCCCCCCCCTTCCTGGGAAAGGTTTATTTGATTGACAAAACAATAATGAAAATAAACAAATTTATGAAGGGTCCGATTAAAAGATAAATTATTTTGTGAAGGGTCCATTTTTAAGTTAAAATATTTTGTGAAGGGTCCGTTCTTATGAAAAGATATTTTATGAAGGGTCGGTTAACGGCAGGGTTGGGTTTTTGACGTCAAAAAGTGGTTTTTGACATGACAAGGGTATAATACTGGTTTAAACCGTCAAAAACCCGTCAAAAATGTCAAAAACTAAAGTTTGTCAAAAAAATATATAAACTTCAAAACTACCAACAGTTGTCATGCATTATATTGAAATTTAATTATACTATAGGTAATCAGCAGGTTTTAAAATATTTTTTAATTAAAATTAAGGTAAAATAACAGATTTAAAATCTCAGAAATTTATATTCAAATGCATGTGCAGAAAAATTTTGCACAAAAATTGTTTAAATATTTATATTAAAAAAAAATTTTTTTTTCTTTTTGATACTTAAGAAAATTAAAAGTTTATTACTATGCATTTTTGACATATAAGGAACATATAACTAATATTTATAAGGAACTTACAAGTTATGTTGTATAAATACAAACTTGATACAAGTGTATGAAAAAAAATTTTAATGTTATACCGAATATCTTTATTATCCAGTATGTTAATTTGAATTTAAAAGTAGTTATATTTGTGAATAATGATAAATATAATTCATATTGTTTATTATATTTATTTATAATTATTACACTTATCATTTTAAAACAATTTTTATCTCTTAATTTTTTTTTCTCCACTTGTATTAAGAATACAAATAATGCATATCTTGAAAGCAAGAAGTAATTATTCAACAGCTGAATATTTAGATATTCAACAAAACTATATAGTATTCAGCAAAATGAAATTCACAAGTATTTGGATAAACTAAATTTTCAGCATAGTAAATGAATAGGCTGAATATACTGTAAATCGACACTAACTACTCTGTGTATTTAACAGAAAGCACTTAAATTTGTATTGTCTTATGTTAAAAAGATTATTAAGAAGATTTAAAAGAATATTAAAAAGATTTTTCTTTAAAAGAAGATGTCTAATGTACAAAACTGCTAATGTTTATCTTTAAAAATGTCTAATTTTTAGTATAATCTATACTATACACTAAATTTGGTTATAAATAAATTTCTTAATAATATCACTGCAGATTTTCAATAACACATGAAAATGAATACATAATATTACAAAAGATGTGAGTTTTCAAAAGTACAAGATTTTGGTTACTATTCAAAATATAAGTGTTTCTTCAAAATTTTAAATTTATTTTTTCTAGAACATATTTAGAAACACTATCCTTTATAAAAAATATATAAATTTTATGTATTAATTAAATTTCACATATGAATATAGGTTTTTGACATTTTCGACATTTTTGACAGTGAGGTTTTTGACGTGACGGTTTAAACCATGGTTTAAACTGTCACATGTCAAAAACCTGCCAACCCTGGTTAACGGACCCGAATTTCTTCTAAGAATTTCTTCTTTCGAATTTCTTCAACTATTGTTACAAATTTCTACATGGTTTTTTGAAATCCCGATACATTTTATCGAATATTATTATGCAGGTGATTTTCGAATCTCGTATTTGAATATAGCCTTCGAATTGCACCGATTTCGTCCTAATTCTACATTTTTTCCA